AATACATACATGCATGCATGCATACATACATACATACATACATACATACATACATACATAAAAACAAAGTAGCCCTGACTGTCCTGGGACTCTATGTAGACCAGGCTGGCCTTGAATTCACAGAGGGCCTATCTGCCTCTGCCTCCCAAGTACTAGGATCAAAGGCTTGTGCTACTATGCCAGAGTCCATCTTTGATTATTTTTTTAAAGAAATACATACAGCATTACTAAAATAGAAAAGTCAGCCTTTTTAGATAACAACCAAGATTTAACTCAGCTGACTTAAAAGTGGCAAGAGAAACATTACCATTTAAGCAGCTCAGACTTTCTTCAGCCAAGTTCTCTCCCGAGTTCTTGTTGTGAATGTTCTACCTCTCTCAGAATGCTGGGGCCCAGAAAACAATTTCGTCTTATGTGTTGCCATCCTGCTGCAAACTTTTGGCTTTAAAGTTTTCTGTGGGAAGTGCAACATATTTTGTAAGCACAGCTCTAAATCTGTTGCTAGGGACATCCCAGACTGAAGTAGAGCCATTGTTGGAATGTGGATGAAACTGGCTGTTGCCATTAGAAATGACAAAATAAGTCAGGGGAAAGACTTGCCCCCACTCCCCATTAGGAATTGCCCCAAGTTCAAAAGACCAAAGAATGTTTTGTAACAGAGTACCATTTCAGGCCTTTGTCCTAAATATTTCTTCTGTCAGATCTTTGGAAGAAAAAGGAGCTTAAGACATAGAGAAGGTTAGATCTAGCCCAGTTCCTTGCTGTATATTAGAGAATATCAAGACAAAAGAGAAAATGTAAGAGCCATGGGGGTGGGGCATAGATGACATAAGGTATTCCAACATAAAGCCTGATAAATCAGTGTAAGCCTTCAGAAGACTTTGGAAGCTCCAGCATCCTAGAGCAGCATGGCCAGATTTGCCAAGACTGGACACCAGCCTGCTGTCTTGAACAGCCCTGTCCCAGTGGCCGGATACCATATGCTGGCATATTAGACTGGGGCTTGAGTTTGTGGAGCCTCCTCCCCTGGGTCTCCATTTCCCCCATGTCTTTCTCCTTCTTCATTGAAAGTTGGAGCTGCTTGCTATATGGCAGCCCCAGGAAAGTCTTAATTCTGCTTTCAGGAAGTCTTTTCCAGCTTAAGGAACGAGATAAGATGCTGGTAGGAAATAGGAGATACTAAAGTTAAAAGACACTGTGTTTCCTGAATAATCTGAGTGAGATGCACTTACAGATGAAAAGATGCTTTGTTGAGGTGGCCTAAGTGACGCAAAGCCTACTGTTTAGTTACACTGTCTGTATTAACTGTCCTATGGATGTACAGAGGCAGGTGAAGCACAATGTCTCAGTGAACGTACATGCCTCTTCTTCCGTAGCATAACTCCACACTGCCTTGTCCCCCTCTCCCCTCACTGGGTCCTGCATGGACCAACTGTGGGAACGTGTGCTTGCTTAGTGATGCTGGTGGGAGTCTCTTAATGAGCTGGGAACATGGTCCTTGAAGAGAGTTGTGAGCCCTGGTTCTCCTGGCCAAGTAAAACAATCTGGCTCCAAGGGATGAGTAATTGTAGGGAAACTCTTTAGAGCGTTTAAGGCTGTATATGCAGCATTGCCTTTCAGTTCATGTGATGTTGCTTTCCCAGAGAACAGCCAAACACTTAGAAATACAGAAGAACGGATACCGCTCCCCAGAGCATAATTATAAGGGAGCAGTTGAACAGGAAGCCATTAAAAGTTTCTGAACTGTCATGTGCCACTATACCTAGGGTGTATGCAATTTTTAAAAAATTTCAGAATCAATACTAAAAATTGACAAGTTCAAAATGAAATGAGGAGCTTTTCATATGTATGTAAGTGATTAAGTGATAAGTGTTCATGAACACAAACACAAGTTTGTCACCACTCAGGAGACTAAGGCAGGGGACTTTCAGTAGTTATGAGCAATTGTTGCTCTTGCAGAGGACCTGAGTTCTGTTCCCAGCACTCACATGGCAGCTCAAACTCATCTATAACTCCAGTTCCAGGGGACCTGATGCCCTCCTGTGACCTTCAGGGTGCCAGGCATGCACATCGTGCACATTCTTACATGCATGCCAAAATTCAAGCACAATAAATGAATAAATAAATAAAATAGAGTAAGAAAGATCCTAAGGCAGGGAGATTAAGAGTTTAAGGCCAGCCTGGGATGTATAGCAAGACCCTGACTCAAATAAACAAACAAAAATCAAAACAGGTTTATCTGTAATCATACATAGGTACCCCTATCAAACAATTAGAAACTATGCTTTACCAAAAAAAATGTTGAAATGTCTTTTTATTTTAACTTACATGTAGTAAGTCAGTGTTTGGCAAACTAAGGTCCATGGCCAAATCCAGTAAAAATGTTACTGTAAAGTTTATTAGGACCCAACTACTTGTATTCACTCTGCTTTGCCTAAAACCCCTTATGCACAATAGCAGATTTGAGCAACACCAATAGTGGCCATAAGTGTTAACTTGCACAGCTGCTCTGCAGCCAATCACCTACTCTGGATGGTCACTTACCTGAAGTTTGCAGATTCCTGTGCAAGACAATACAGAAACTAAGTTGTTTTATATTTATATATAATATATAATATAAATATATATTTATATACAATAAATATATATGGCATTTATCAGAGTAGTTACTGGATGTGGTCCAACTAGTTCAACAATGACTGTCTACCAACAGAAAGTCCAAGAATCCAGTTTGGCCCATGAGCCTGGGTGTCTCAGTATATGCCAGAATACCAAAGGTTCTAATGCCAGTGAAAAAGTGAAGTTGCCAACGAGAACAAGCAGGCAAAGAGCAAAAGTGTGGGAACACCAGACCTTGAGCAGAGACCCACTTCCCCTTCTGCCTGGGAGTAGGCAGCTGTAAGACAATGTTTACTAAAAACTTGTTTACTAAAAACAATACAATGCCCGGGGGCAATAAGTTCCTGGAAAAGGCCTGCCCACAGAAACCACCCTGACCTCGACCTTGTCCAAAGACTAACCGCCTCTTCTGCCACGCCCAGATCAGTCGTTGGTGTCAGGGCAGAACTAGCAGGGGAGAGGAGAGAGCAGAAGCTTCTCTGGTGGGAGCCTTTCTTAGGAAGTTTTCTTGAACCTTTTTGGAGCCTGTTTAAAGTTTTCTTTACATCGTTGAACAAGTCTCTGTGTTGTCAATCCCCGACACCCTCCGCACGTTCTCGGACACAGGCCGCGCAGCAGACGCGACACAAAAGCTTACTTCTTCCATGTCCTTTAAATAGGCTGCCACCAGAAGGTATGGCCCAGATTAAAGGTGGATTTTCCCTCCTCAAAAGATGTGGATTCAAAATGGATCTTCCACTTCAAATAATTTAATTAAGAAAAATCCCTCTGCTTGGAATTTAGTTAATTCCAGGTGTAGTCAAATTGACAGCCAAGAATAGCCATCATAGTAAGAATGGGTTGTGAGCTAAATAGCATTCTTTCACAAACTCTTAAAGAACAGTTGACTGTATGATCCCATTGTCAGCATCCAAGGCCTTGATGCTGGGAAATTGGACTTTAGATACTTAAATAGAGATTAAGGCAAAAGCTGAGGCTGAGGGAACACTGAGCAACCTTCTGTTTGTAATTGATACTGTTGCTATGGGTCGGAAAAGGACATTGTCCTTGCCTCCTCTTTTAGAAAAATTCAACCAATCCCAGCTGGCTGTGTGGTTTTGACATAGTCCTCAGGGAGCTGAAGAAATGCAACCCTGTCTTGGTGCCTCTGCTTCACAGGCTGAATGACCCACTGGGACTGAGTGGGACAGGCCTGGCGTCACCTCACATCCCGGCAGCCCTGAAGGACTGGCTGGCTTGGACCGCTCTGCTTCTCTTTCACTGTTCTCTTAATGGAAATCACAGAGCTCCATCCTCACTTCAGAGAAGCAGTTTCCTCTTTTGGAACCAGAAACTGTCAGGCTAAGGAAACAGCTAATGTGTTCAAGCCACAGTGACGAGATGATCTCATTTTATGTTAAAGGTTTCAAAAGATGAAATAATTTCTGGAACAAGACGTAACTGAGATTCAGAGTATTTGATTAACAAGATATTTTAAATATTTCTCATGGGCATAGAATCTCTTAACTATAGTACCTATAGTATTTTCAACTACATTAGCCAAATATAGATTATATTTTGCAGCTAGCAAATTCTAGGGAATGGAGAAATACAAAACTCTTCCTCCCTCTCTTTATATGTAGGTCATTCTTTTTGCTTAAAGTTACTGTTAAAGCCAGTCATATATGAAAGTATTTGTATAAGATATTTAACGTTTTTAGAGCCAGGCATGGTGGCGCACACCTTTAATCCCAGCACTTGGAAGACAGAGGCAGGTCGATCTCTGTGAGTTCAAGGCCAGCCTAGTCTACAAAGCAGGTTCCAGAATAGCCAGGGTTGTTAAACAGAGAAATCCTAAAAAAAGAAATTTGACATTTTCATAAGGTAACGGTGCTGGAGAAATGGCTCAGCTGCCATTTACTACTCTTGCAAATGTTTAGTTCCCAGCACCCACTTGGCAGCTCATACCATTCATCACTCCAGTTACAGGATATCTGCCCTTTTCTGTCCTTGTTGGATACCAGACATGCCGACAACAAAAATAAAACCTCATAAATACCCTTCTTCCTCTGCCTCCTGAATGCTGGGATTGAATGCACGAATACCCTAACCCCCACCCCTTGTTGGACCATTTCTTAATCACACCGTAGGGACATTTCAGACCCAAACTGCAACACATTAAAAAATGTTCCCTGCTGTTAGGTGATCTTTAGTTTTTCAAATTATAAACAAGACTGGTATCTTAATGCTTAAACAGTCTCCAACTTAGAAAATCTCCATTAAAGTCGCCTTCTCGAAAAAGGATTATGAAGTCGAGAGATTAAAATCTAAGCCAGTATTGCCAAGGTTGCACTGTATGGGAAAGGCGCTCTTTAACTGTTGAAATTCGTGTCTCCTTTCAGTACCATCCGGTGGTGAGGAAGGAGGAGACACAGAAATGATGCAGCAGGACACAGCTCCAGTTCCTGAGCCATCGAAGGAAACCAAACAGGTGACAGTCACTGTGAGCCTCGCAGCTATTGGCTCTGAAGTCCATCTATAGCCCAGTGGTGGTCACCTGTGGCTTGTGGCTATTGCTGGCTGATGGCTGTGAATAGTCATGCACCTCAGGACAGAATGGGATGAGCTGTGTGGCCTCTCACATGTCTGACTTAAGTCGAAGGAGGCCCTGTGAGGATCTGTACCGCGGTAGACGTTCACCTGTCTCATCCTGATCCCAACTCGCCACAGCTCCCATGTGTAATCGCTTGCAATCACTTGACCCCCCACCCCTCCCTCCCAGAGCTGTTGAGGACCCTAAAGGGGATGTGACTTCTACTCCGCTCCATGGCTCCAGCTGCTTTCCCGTCACATGGACTCTCCATGCCTCTCTTCATAGCTGGGTCAGCTTTCCTGGCTAGCATCAGTGGGGACAATGCTAGGTATCACTCGGGGAGTTGCCAGTGATAGGCCAATACAGGGAACTTTCCTGAAACCACATACTCAGATCTGTTCCTTTGTGTTTTCCAGTTAATTTTCTTTTTGTAAATTCTTAGCGTCTTTTCTTGATCCACTATTATCGTAAATTCCACAGTGATGCTCCACAGGGTGTAGTTCTTTTATTCATTGTACCATATTTCTGATGAGCTTTCCATAGTAGTAAATGTTCTAAAAGGTTCCCTTTAGTCCTACAAGGGCATTCTTACATTATTTTTCTTTTGCACATCCTTTCCTTACTTTCTGATACCACATCTTTTGCAGTAATGTCTTTTTGTTGTTTGTTGGCCCTCATGTCAGGGAGTTTATTTAAATGTCTAGTTAGCCTTAGCTCTGTTTGTATTGAAGAACAATCCTCTAAAAAACTTCATTTGAAGATTTAGCACATGAAGTGAGATTGTTTTTCTTTGATTAGTGTAACTATTGGGAAATGATAACACAAACTAGAATTTTAAAATTTCATTTTGATTTTTAACTCATGTCATGTTTGAATTAATCATCTTTTAAACCTAATAATCTACAATCAGCACATTAAACCTTCTTGTAGAGAATAGCTCTATATACTAAATAAGAAAACACAGTAGGTGTCTATGTCTGCTTCCCCACAACCTTCATAATAGCTAACAAAACTAATGCCAGGATTTTACTTATTTATTTATTCATTATTTTTTGGTGATGGTGGTGGTTTGGTCATCTTTTTGTTGTTTCGAGATAAAGTGTCTTTGTGTGTCTCTCTGTCTCCCTTCCTATCTGCCCCCTCTCTCTCCTCCCCCCTCTCTCCCTCCCTCCATCACTCACTCACTCCCTCCATCACTCCCTCCATCACTCCCTCTCTCCCTCCATGGGTGATCTGGAACTTATATGAGGCTTCAAACCCAGACAAATCTCCCTCAGTGCCTGTGGCTTCTCCCAGCACTCCTCACTCTGCCCCCTACCCTAAACCTCTCCTCCCAGGGGCTGGGCTTCACCTCCCTTCCTCCAGCTGCATCCCTTAGCTACACTGGCCTCTTGGTGTCTTGTCCCATGCTGCCTCTCTTGCTCTCCCTCCCCTCTCTCCTCTCGTGGTCCAATTTAGTCTGCTGGCCATGACCAGCCTGGACTCTTGCCTTTGCCTGCTTTCTCCCTTATCTCTACAGGTAAAAATCTCTGTGCTTTAGGAGTAGTCATGTCCCCCTCTTTTTATTTCATTTTTCAGTCACTAACCTCATGGCAGTCTTCCTGCCTCAGCCTCCCAAGTGTTGGGATTTTAGGCCTGGGTCCAATATCTGCTTTAGGAACTCTACTAATGACACCCAGACCCTTGCCTCAGAAGGAAGTACTCAGTGCTTCCTTGTTCTGTAATTGGATGCTTATGGCCATCTGGCATCTCCTGTGACATATTAGTGGCCTTGACCCAATTTCTTGTTGGCATGTACCAACATTAAATGGACGTGAATCTAAGTCCACAAGCCAGCTTAACTTTCTGAGTAAGAAAGACAGTATCTTTATTTTCTCAGGCTGTAAGGCAATTGGTCTTCACAGGTTTTTTGTTTAAACTGTAAAGAAGCTAAAGATCAAAGATCCCCATGGTATTTTAATCTACTCTACTGCCTGGACCAATGTCTAAACACTGATGATGTCTTAAAGTTACAGACCATTGCATCCCTGTCTGATTTGAGGCCATGGCATTCCTAATCTGCAGGTTTTCTTGTTGTTGTTTGAGACAGGATGTGGTCTCAAGCAACAACAAGACCCAAACTGGTCTCAAACTCACAGAAATCCACCTACCTCTGCTTCTCCTGCTGGGATTAAAGGTGTGTGTCACCATGCCTGGCTTTACTCTGCTCCTTTTCTAAAAAGACCCATCTATGATAATTTTAAATAGAGCCATAGAGGCATGGTCGCTGCTGGTGACTGGCTGGCTGAACAGCTCTCCTGTCCATGGAATGGATGCAACTTTCTTCTTCCATTCCACGTCTTACTTGGCAACCTGTTTGAGCTGTTGCAGAAAGGTCCAGCACAGGAAACATTTTATTTTGCTGCTTATGATGAATAGATGTGGAACCTGCACATTCCATTTTATAAATCAAGGTTTTAGTCCAAATTTCCTGCATTTTCTACCTTCTAGAACAAAACTCGGCTTAAAAACAGCATGAAGCTATATAGGGTCCTTGGGGTTTGAGGCCACTGGCAAAGCAATCACTCTTGGTGCTACAGTGCAGGGCCTGTTTTCAGACAGTTAACAGGAGCATTTATTCTGTGGTCATTTTTTAATGACTACATGAGTACAGCTGTTTGGCACAGCTGGTTTTGTAAAAACGTAAGTAAACACACCCTACTTTGAATCTTCTTTGCCTGTTGAAAAGGGGGAAGGAGCGGGTACTACAAACAACGCCAGGCTCCTGCACAGGCAGCTCCTGGAAAACCAGCCACTCTCATCACTGACTGCCTTGCCACACGTCAAGCCCATGCATTCCTGCCTGCAGTTTACAGACCAGCCCCTGGCTCCCATCACTAATCATCTGCTTATATCAAGCACACATATACACTCACTCACTCACACATTTTGATCTCTGTTCAAAGAGGTTTCCAGTCTTACGTCATCTGTTCTTTCTGACTTTCTCAAATTCCATCTAACAGCTCCGGTGGGTTTCCCAGCATCTCTGTGGAATGTTACCAAGGTACTCTGAGGAGTTTGTGCCCGGCAGAAAGTGCTTTGGGATTCATAACAGTCATTGACACTTTATCCCACAAAGATGAACGTTTTCTCATTTATATTTCCTTACAGCCTTTAGAGTGTTTCTTGACACAACCGAAGGAAACAAAGGAGGAAACCCAGAAGACCAAGAAGTGGAAAAAGGTACCAGCAGCAGTTTGTCTCGGTGGCATGGACACATGAGGCTTCCATGACATTCTTATGTATTATATATATGTAAGGTTATTCTGGTCCCCAACAAAGAGACTCAGAAACTGTCAGTGAGATCTGTTAGCTTTCCTAAGGTTTCTCGGGATAAGTTTTCCTTGGGGAGCTGAAACTAAACTTTTCTGACACCCATTTCACTCTTGTGAAACACCAACAGCTTTCTTGCCCACTAGGTTCTCACTGTAGCATCAGACACAGATTCTAATCTAGGAGCCCGAAGCTTGTCTTGCACTTAACTCCTCTGCCTTTATGCAAGAAAATCCACTGCCCTTTTTCTATCTACTCCAGCTTCAAGCCTTATACACTAAAGTAATAACCAAAAGAAAACAAGTAGAGGAAGGCACTGTCGAGTTTTTCTGCCTCTAATTTGGGCCATAATTTAAGGCAAATGTTCCCCTTCCTCTTCGGTAATGTCTCTCTGCAGAGAGCCGGCACTGTTACTCCTATGCAGACTTTCTCAGAGCAGCCCTAGCTTTCCCCTTCTGCCACAGTCGTGAGAACAGCAGTGCCGTTCTCTCCCAGCCAGCAGGGTCTGCTGCTGAAGTCAGGGGGAGTGATTGAGATGAGCTAGCTATTGAACAGGAAGCAGGAGTGTGTGTACGTGTTTCCTTTCCTCACGGATGGCCAAGTAGAAAGGTGGGATGTGCCAAATTGGCAGAAGTTTGGCAAGTCCTTAAAGAAATGCCTCAAGTGCACTTTGATAATTCCGTCGCACACAGGGCCTTGAGGAGCATTGGTCCCAGAAGTTCAAGGTCAGAGCTCTCACTAGTTTAGCTCTGCTGAGGTCATGCTCACATATGCCCATGGTGACGATGTTAGTTTGATACCTTTGATAACTGCCTTGAGTTGGGAGTCAGGGAGTTGAGAGGAATTGCTCTTTCTGGGTCTTTGGAGAATCATTACAAGAAAATAAGGGATGTTTATGACAAAAATGGACAATTGTGCTTCCATGTTTTGCATACATTTGACAGAAGTTCTACACAAATAAGTCCACATCAAAAGAGATGAGAGAAAGTGTCTCCGGTGACATCTGTTCTGTTGTGTTTGCATGGGGCCTTGGGATTGCCTCCTCAGCCAGGGCAATCAGCATCAAGTCCACTTTCCAGTGAGTGCCTGTGCTTGGCGTGGTCTGCACAAATTCAATCTGAGGCTCACCACCAGATGGTCAGCTTGTACAAGAAGTGCTCAAATGCCTCTCTTTCAAGAGGACAGATCATTTAGGAGTAAAAGAGAAGTTTCCATAGCAACAAGACTTCTAGACTTTTAACAGAAGAATACCCTACCAATGAGCTGAATGCAAAATTTTCACTTCTAAAAGATACAGACCAGACATTACAAAGAGCCCTTTGAGATCATTTCTTCATTTTTCAAACACTTGTTATGTCTAAGAAGTATGCAAGAAGGTTTCCCACTCAGCATTCACCGAAAGCTACATGCCATTTAAACGCCAGAGAAATGAACCTACGCCACATGCCGTTCTAAAATCCAGTGTTCTATTTTTTTTTCTCTTGTTTTAGAAGAAAATTTCTGAGATTCTTGCAAAATCAGAGCCCAAACCAGGGACTCCCGGGGATCTTCAGCAGCTTATCAAGAACCATTACAGTGGCAGTCGTTCTGTGATTGAGTTGGAAGAGCTGAACCTACCAGGTATAGCTGGGCTTCAGTTGTCCTAAGGACAGGGGACAGACCGTGTCATTTCTTCTGTTCTGTTTTATAGGTATCTTTACATTTTCGTTGCTTTTAATCTTCTTCCTTCCATCTAATACTTTTTTTGGATACTAAAAAAAAGTATTTGCTGAATTGAATGCTAAGACTTGTATATGTATTTTATTTTCTCCTGGAAAGATTAATTGTTCAGTACAAAAATTTAGCAGACTCTTCAAGGAGTAAATGTCTCTGCTGAAGATAGTTATTAAACTCACATAAGGACACATCACACACTTAAAAGTCTTGGTGTGAAACTTTGTTTACCCTTCCTTTGTAAATAAGAACTTTTGACTTACAAAGCCTGTTCAGCTAGGTCCTGAGTCCCAGAACTCAGGAGCCTCAGGCTAAAGGATCACGGCAAGTGTGAGTCCAGCTATACAATAAACACCTATCTCCAAAAAATTGACAGATTTTTTAATAAGCATTTTAGTTGTTGTGGTCATGGTTTCAGTTTTAGAGTAGTATTCGGGTTGTACCCAAGATACTTCCAAACCAACTAGCCAAATGTGGTAATAGAATTCTGCATTTCACAGAAGCCACTATAATTTGAGGCTCAATACTTTATTTAGAATTTAGGAGATACTGCAAAAATGCAGTCACTCCTCTGAGCTTTTAGATTATGGTGCATCTGTAAGGCTCCCGGGCAAGGCTAGGAGAAAACAGATGTTATCCTGAAAGCAAACCAAGAGGAGCCTTGGCACCACTGCTCCTGATAAGCTATTTCTAGACTACTGAAAGCAGCTAGTGCTACTTTGGGAAGAAAGTAGCTCACTTCCCATTACAGCTCTATGCTTTCTAGAAGCTTGAGAAGCTGAAGAACAGCCTGTTCCCTGCATAGTTATAATTCCTCTGAGCTATTTTTTCAAGTGCTCTTTGGGATTAGCAACAGGAGTGCCCCTGTCTGCTCTTTTCCAAGACAGTTGCCCTTGAGGGAACTGGAGGCATGCACTTAGATTTGAACAGGATCTGGAATCTGAAGTTTGTTTACCAGCCCAGAGGGCTGCTCCTTGAGTGTGAGAGCTGAGTCCTAGCCACTCTATGGCAAGAGCAGAGTGGTGTCACAAATCCTCTGCTCAAGCTGAGGCTGATGTATAGTTTTCACTGTGACTCAGTTTCCCCTTCTAGTTATTCCTTAGCATATAACTTGAGCCCTGGAAGGATTTGTGAAGGATGTACCGCTATTCTGTGACCTCAGAGAACGTCATAAACCTTGACTTTCTGCAGAATTAATGAGAGCTAAAGGTTATAAGAAAGCCTTGGGATACATCCAAGTTCTGTAATAAGTTTGTGTTATGTTATTGTTTTATTAAAGCTCCATAACACAGGAAGGTAAGTTCCTGGACTTGTGGAGTTTCTGTGTGTGTGTGTGTGTGTGTGTGTGTGTGTGTGTGTGTAGGGGGTTATGTTGGAAACTGCCAGAAAGAACAGGCTTTATTATCAACTACCAGATGACTTCTCTGATACATAGTCAATTAAGGCTTCATGTCTTAGCTTGGGTGTCTATTGCTTTGAGGAGACACCATGACCACAGCAACTCTTATACAGGAAAACATTCGATTGAGATGACAGCTTACAGTTTCAGAGGTCCAGGCCATTACCATCATGACAGGGAGCATAGTGGCTTGCAGGCAGATGTGGTGCTGGAGCTGAGAGTGACAACTCAGGAAGACAGGAAGACAACAGGAAGTCGACTGACTGCCACACTGAAGGAAGCTTGAGAAAAAGACCTCAGAGCCTGCCCCCACAGTGCCATACTTCCTCCAACAAGACCACACCTTCTAATAATGCCACTCCCTTTAGGGGCCATTTCTTTCAAACTACCACACATCATTAGAAGATTTCAGAGAAAAGACCCTAGTCACCACACCAAGACCAAGAGCAGCCTCCAAAAGTAGTAACTATGCTAGCTGAAGAGAGAAAAGATGCCATTTGTCATTTTGAATTGGTTAAAGAAGGGGTGTAAATAATAAATTATTGTTCCTAATCAGCTTTTCAAGTGTCTGACTGGATTTTAATCTGAGGTTGTTTGTGTCTGAAGGGCAGAAACATAGCCTCGTAATTACCATTAATTGTGCTATACACTGCCAACATCTTACACATGGGAACTTAATTAGGGAGTTCCAGAGCAAAGACACCAGGAGCCAATTAACCTCTGCTGTCTCCTGAGAGCTAGTTTGGTTTAGGTCAGTGACCCTAAGTGCCTGTAGTCTAGCTGCAACCAACTCACCCAGGAGTCTCCTCAAAGGAAAGACAAGCCACCCTCAGGGACTTAACCAAGTAGAGTCCATTCCTGTTATCACTTTTGTATAAAGTTCTCCAGATGTATCTAACACTGTCTCCTCTGGGAGAATTGTAATTGTAAAGGCCATCAAAGGCCTCTATTGAGGCAACAACTTTGAAAGTATTATGTAATATTAGTTATCTATTGTATGTATTATTAAATTAACTCAAATTTAATTCGGGAGTAGCTCACTCCCCTAACACCCTAATGTTTACACAGAAACTTTTTCTTATAGAGGGAATTGAATTGATAAACATAATGTTACTTTTCTATATATCTCAGGCTCAAAGTGAATGATTATACTCAGAGTTAATATTGTTACACTTTTATTTTGATGTGTTATGTTGTATTTCATGGCTAGGCTGAATCGTTATATTTTGATACATTATTCCCGTTCTTTCCAAATCTATGCTGTGTTTCCTTTCCTCATAAGTATTTACTCTAAATAGTTGTTACACATTTCTATGTATGCATTCCTAGATGCCACTCGGGTGTGTATGTTTATTTTTATCTAAACTACATTTGCAGAGTCTCTCGTTCTGTTTCTTCACTTCACACATTTTTCAGCTGTGCCAGATGTGGCTTTGTGTAAATCAAAGTTGTCTTTGAGATGCTGCTTGGTGCTCCAGTTCTTTCATCTGGCACAAAGCACTTGCCCCTTTCCTCAGATGTGGAAACCTGTATGGTTTCCCACATCTCAAGACCATAAACTTTACCAAAATTAATCTTTGTGTATCCATTTACAGCACACACAAAAATTTCTTGGCATTGTTTAGCCAAAAAACAAATCGGAAACTCACAGAGTATATAATCTTAACATTACTACTTTTCAAAATAAGTTTATCAGTTGGAAATTCTACCTTCAGCTGGTAAATTTTATCACCCCACACTCTCCGTAACTCTTACTGTCGTACATCTTTCTAATATTTCCCATCCACTGACTGCTCCCTCGTTGCTGCATTAATTTGCTCTTGATGTAAATAATGAATGTGAGGTTCTCTCATAGGGTTCCCAGCCCTTTCACCTTGCCTTTGCTTGTTGCCTCATTCATAGATTTCAAATGTACCGATGTTCCCCCTACCTGTAAATGATATGCAGAGCTTTTAGCTCATTGCTCTAGAGAGTTAAAGGTTCCTATCCCATGCATGAGCCCAGGTTCCAATATAGAGTGGTCATCCCCATATATATGCAAGCAACAAAAATGTGCTCAGTGAGTTATATCTGTATTTTGCATGTATGTGTGTGTAACTATAAAAATAAGAAAAGATGCTATCAATTTGAGAGTGGAACACATGGGAGGGGTGGAAGGGAGGAAACAGGGGGAAGCTGGAAGGAAAAAATGTAAAACTAGAAATAAAATATTTTAAATGAAAAAGTAAAAAGTCTATTATTGCTACAACTGTTATTTTAAATATTTTAACCTCCAAATCACTCACATTTTATGACTCATTCAAGAATTCATCATTCACATTTAATCTGTTTTGATTGTGTGGTTGCAAAGTTCTTAGTAAAGCATGTTTCCTTTATTTCTAGACTCCTGTTTCCTCAAGGCCAATGATTTGACTCACAGTCTCTCTTCATACCTAAAAGAAAGTAAGTAAAGTCTGATATTCTAACAATGATTCTCTAGGTCATTATTCCACAAAAGAACAGGTTTGACGTTGGGGTGTATTGGTGCATCCATAATCCCAACACACTCAGGAGACTGAAGCAGGGAAATCAACACTTGGCAGACTAACCTGGGCTACAGAGGGACACTCAAAAACTCAAATAAATAAGCTTAGTCTCTCTAAATTATATATGTATCACTACATTTGAAACTAATAGTTTCTAGCTTAAGTGGAGAGGGATTTAGTGTTATATCTTTTTTTTTCTCAGTCATACTGTGTAGCCCAGGGTAGCCTCAAACTCATTATTCCCCTGTCTCAGCTTCTCATGTGCTGAGATTATAGGCCACACTACTATGCCCATTATTAGATATCCTAATTTAATGTTTTGCTTTGGGTTTGGTCCTATTTGGGTGTTACAATACATTAGATGTATTAGTCTAGGAATCTGAAAAATGATGTCCTCGTCCAGAACATCCAGTCCCCTGGAACTTGACCTTCTTACCTAAGAGATCAAGACACTGGGCCATGTGATTCTTATCAGCTGGGAGAATTTCAGATTTTGTTTTCATGTTCAGAACTCAGACCTCACTATTACAGCCACTCTGATTTGATATTGTAGTTGGTATTGTGTATAACCAGAAAAAGGCTAGATCATTCATATCAAAATATCACCTACTTGTTTCCAGCAATCAGGTGACTTACATAGATTGGGCATCCTTCTTCCAGCCTTTTAGTGTTAAGATGATACCCAATGTGTGCTCACTGAGCATTTCTCAGGGCTTAATTTCACAAATACAAACCTGGGTTATTATAGGAATAATATCCTGTCTTAGAAACTTAAAAAGTTTAAAGTTCTAAGCCTATTTGTTAAACATAACAGTAAATAATGAATTTGAAGTATCACTTATTGTCAGTTCCATTTTAGGTCATGCTGGATATCTCTTTAAAATTTAACGTGTGTGGTGGCCCATGTCTCTAACACCAGGCAGGTAGATGTCTATGAGTTCCAGGCCAGCTAGTGCTATGCATTGAGATCCTGTTTTTAAACAAACAAAAAGCTAAGCTGAGCTAAAATTTAACATGATTGAATCAGAATTATCCTATTAGTCTTCAAGCATTAAACATAAATTTTAATCTGTTATCTAAAATAGCAGAAAATGTAATAACAATCAATGCTTTTTTATTTTCTTAAGCACTTTACAAATAAATAATTGGAGAATATCCAATGTTAGCAGCACTGCTTTGTATCTTGAGAACAGTTTTTGTGATCTGTCTTTCAGTATGTCCTAAGTGGGTAAAACTTAGAAAAACACACAGCGAGAAGAAGTCGGTTCTGATGCTAATCATGTGCAGCTCTGCTGTCCGAGCCCTGGAGCTCATCAGGTCAGTGTCACTGCCTGGGTCTCCTGAGTGTTTTCTTAATGCATGGCAAGCTGTATATTCTATGTGCAATGAATTAAACAGGAACCCTGCCCTATGGGATTTATGTACTGATGGGGAGGCTGACAAGGAGCAAGTAAATATGCATGACAGTATCCTTAATAGTGATTCATTGTATAAAGAAAATTGAGGCATGGAAATGAGGTGGACACACATGGGGATTCTTTTTTAAAAGGGATGGCATTAGAGCAGAGACTCAGAGAAGTGAAGGACAGGGCCACTTAGCTTTCTTGACCTGAAATCAGGTAGATTTCCAAGTGTGTAGCAGTGAGATGCTGTCGAAGGATCTGGGACAGAGGGGTGCTGTGAGTCATTTTAAAGGCACACTTACACTGCTGTGTGGAGAAGATGTTGTTCAGGGCAAGGGTAAAAGCAACAGGACCACACAGTTGAAGAACAGCAAGCAAATGGAAGGGATGCTCTGACTCAAGCTAGAAACAAGGGAAGGCAGAACAGCAGGGAATAAGCTTTCTAAACCTATATGAGAAAATGCCATGGGATGGAAAAGCTCTTAAGTTTAAGTGGGTACCATACTCTTGAGAAGGAAGACTCAGTGTCGTAAATATGCCTGTTTTACTTAGGATCATCTGCAAATTCCACAGGCTTCCAAGCAAAACCCCAAGAAAATTTATTTGTTTTTTTAACTAGATAAACTAATTTTAAACTTTTACAAGAACATACAAGTAAAAATGGCCAACAAAGGGTTTTAAAGGCTACCGAGAAGAGGCCCTTTCAGATTGCAATATGTGTTACAGTGTCAGCAGTTCAAGGCCTCTGGGACTGCCATGCAGGACAGGCAGAAGGGATCCGTGGGCCAAAACTGAAAGGGAAGAAACAGACCCAAATGCACGTGAAAATGGACACAGAAAAGGTGACAAAGAAGAAATCAGAGAGGAAGATAGATGGTTCAACAACTGTGTTGAACAACTGGGTATCCATCTGGAAAAATAAAGTTGGATTCATATCTCACTCCTTCAACCAAGATAAATTCCAACAGACCGAAAACTTAAAGGGAAAAAATTCTATATTAAAGATAAGTTGACACTTTATTAAGTGCTTTTATGGGCATTTCCATTTGCTGCATTTTTGCAGAATAAACAAAAAGCCTTCCACTGGATCTGTGAAACATTCAGAGAATCAAGAGAGTAAGGTGGCATTTACAGGGAAAAGCCTTGTCTGGGAACCAGGCTTTGACAGGAGACAAAACAAAGGAAGTCTGTGTCTTGAAACAGGAGCTTTGTCAAGTACCCTAAGGTGCAAGTGTGCAGACTCCGTGGCGATTTAACATCTGTTTTTCTAGATGAACTAATCTAATCATGATTTTAGAAAAGCAGTTGTTAAACTTTACTGTCCCTTCAGACTCTGCTTTCTCCACCTCAGCACACACGTTAAATCATATACCACACCCTCCAGTAAAGCAAAATGTTGAGTATGTCTGCTCCAAACATAATTGATGTACTCCTGTTTACCTGGGTAGCCATCTGTACTCGTTGGCTCTGAAATCAGAACATTTCACACCAACTTTCCTGAGTTTTAGACAGGACTACAGAACCCATTCAAAGTTGAAATGCTAATGGCAAATAAGTTAGACTACATGTGACCTCTTAAAAACAAGTTGTCACATTGATTTGAGCTTTTACTGTATATAAATTCCTTTCTAAGGGGCATAAAAGCACTGTGTTGTCACACTTCATTTATCAACTGTCCCCAGATATATTTTGATCCATTTCAAGGTTAAATGAATTGCAAAGTGTCATCTGAGCAGGCACAAGGACCAGTGTTTAATAATCCTACTGTAAGGACATCTCTTGTCTTGATAGCCGTAAGTCCTGTTGTTTTCCTTGTTAACCCTGCAAGGGAGAATACTTATGGTTAATTGAGAACTCACTTGCAATAGAAATTACATGTTTCACTATTTTGTGTATCAGTATCTTCCTCCTGGTCAACAATACTCTCAAAACATAATGACACAAAGGAAAGGAATACCCCCATCTTAAGTGTAACCCTTAATCTTAACTAAAAACCTACTTGTTCTTTATACTGACTTTAACTCAAAACAGAATTTTAGGTGATATACAGAAATACACCAATTGAAAAACATAATTAAAAAGAAAACTATAAACATCAGAAAATCAGGTGAAGCCAGCTGGAACTCCTGTCCATAATCTCTTCCTTAAAGCCTTTCTATGTTGTAGAAATGGACCCAACTTCTTTGGACAGAATGTGTTTCGAAATGTCACTTCACAGATCCATGGCATTCTGTGAGTTTAAATTAAAAATAAAAGATGACCCCAAGGTGGCATAGTGGCACCGTCATCATTGATGTCATGTATCAAATAAAATAGTGAGCAGATGGTATAGCCTTGCTATTCATAGAGCAACTGTTTGTAGGCCCTGAGGGCCTACTGTCAGAACAGTTCTCATAAAACCTGCCCTCTAAGGTACCAGGCAGCCTTGACTCTCAGAAATGATCATCTGAATTGAGGTAGCTAGATCCAAATGGTTGAATATTTAGAACTGAACAGACTACCTCACCTACATACTAGATGTTCTAAGTCAATAACTCAAGGATAAGCCTACCCAATAGCATTTTGACCCTAAAAGGTTTAAATGAAGCTGAGCATATTGCTGCATGCATGTAATCCCAGCAATGAGAGGATTGAAAATTTGAGGATAGCCTGCATAACAAGTTCAAGGACAGTATAGGGTATATAATATTCCAAGGATAGATAGGTAGGTAGGGAGAGAGAGAGGGAGGGAGGGAGAGAGAGAGAGAGAGAGAGAGAGAGAGAGAGAGAGAGAGAGAGAGAGAGAGAGAGAGAGAGAGAGAGAGACTTTTAATACATTGCACCTAGATGCTTGAATTCTCCAAAAATAAAGAATCAACACTGGATTTGTAATCTAACATTTAGTAATTGGCTTAATAACTACCTTTTTGGGGATACGTGGTCTCTCATGCCCCTCAGTCCACACAGCTGCCACTCCTTCACTCGCTTCACTCCTGCATGATTCACACTGCTCTCATAGACCAAGAGCTACAGTCCAGTGTCTTTTTTTCTTCCTTCCTCCTTCCCTCCCTCCTTCTCTCCGTAGGCTGGAATATTTTCATGTATGAACTTTTACAGTCTACAAAATAGAAAAGCGGGGGTGGGGTGTTCTGCCCTCCTCCCTGGTGTTCGCAGGTGTGGTTTTCTGTCTGGATACCCCAACAGACTTTCAGTGCCTGAGTGCCACAGATCATAAACAGACTTCAGTGCTCTGAGAATTCCTCTTGTAACCAGTTTTATTGGTTTTTGGTTTGTTTTTGCGTGGGGAGGGAGTTGAGACATATTATGCCAAACTGTATGGAAAATTCTCTGCCAGGCACCTAAAACATAGAAATTCTGTTTAGAGAACTGCAGATGAATGTGCTTGAATCACATGGAAACCAAAGTGACTGTCCTTGTGTTTGACTTTAAAGGACACCCAGATGTGTACCTGAGTACCAGGCTTTCCCCATTTCTGATCTTTTTGTTGTTGTTGTATTCTTTTTTGAAATAGTATCTTGCTATGTCACCTAGACTGATCTCGAACTCACCACAGTCCTCCTGCCTCAGCCCCTTGAGTGATTTCACCAGTGTGCCTGAAAGCCCACTCCAGTTTCCCTGCAGAGATTGACTTGCCTAATAATGACCTTTTTGTGTGTGGATATAAACATAACTGTACACATTTAGAGCAGTCTTTTGAATGATAAACTATGTAAATAGTGAGCTCTTAAATGAGTAAACTGTCATAATCCATTCAATGCATGGATTAATTAATACATTCCTTTTCATTAGGTCACTGACAGCATTCAAAGGAGATGCAAAAGTTATGAAATTATTTGCAAAACACATAAAGGTAAGCAAGACCTGTAGTTCTGATGTAAGTGGTCCCTAATGGCATCGTAGGACCTCAGCGCTCCCGCTCAGCCTCTTCTAATCTTCCTAGGTATGACAGATGAGGACAAACTTAACAGGTAGTCTGGTTCCTTTGTGTTCTGTGCCTCTCCATGGCCACTATGGCCCACTGCAGCCATTGCCTTGCTTTATTCCTGAATAGAAGCTGACGTTTGTCCCGATTCCTCAGGCACTGACCAGTTTTCTAAAAAAAAAAATCTCTACTTTGTCCTAGAAGTTGGTCCTAAACAAGAGTGGCCCTATTTGCTTGTGATTTTCTTTATGTAGAGATAAAATGCTCTAAGGTGATGTACAGTTCTTCTTTGGTAATGATTCTGAAGCTTTCCTTTCTTCTCTTCCATCTTGGGAAGGTCCGGGAGCAGGTGAAGTTGCTGGAGAATCGTGTGATACACCTGGGTGTGGGAACTCCGGGGAGAATCAAGGAACTCGTTAAACAAGGTATGAAATGAGGACAGTGAGAACTCTGGTAATAGTCAGCACTCTGCCTCCCCCATTCAGTCTAGGGAAGCACAATTGGAGTGCTTTTTCCAAAAAGAAAAACAGACCTCTGTAAATCCCCCAGTGGGAACTCAACTCAGCCTTTGATCTCAGAAGCCAGCCAGTTTGAGCAGTGCGGTGGGATGACAAGGACTGTGGCCCACTCAAGTGCATGTGCCACCGCTAAGCACGTTCTGATGCCAGTGGCTCTGAGCATCGGAATGGACCCACACAGGCCTCACCTCCAAGCAGTCCTTGGAGTTGGTAGAGCCAGATATGCTGAATATTTCCTTCTCGGGAAATTGAGGCATGGTTCAGTTGTAATGGGATAATACACTGAAATGAAAACTCCATTTCTATAAATGATGCAGAGACACTCTGAATATTCCTCCCAAGTGCATTTCCCTTTTAGTGCTTTGCCCAGTAAGTATTCCAGAATCCCTGGTCGGCTTTAATAGTTTGCCAACTCCCTCAAGCCAGAAGCCTAACAACCTGCTGGTAATCCTAGTACATGTTCTTGACCCCTGTAGGTTTGGGGGGCTGGGTGTTTTGGAGGTGCTGGAGATTGAATCTAGGACCATACACGTGATCGGCCAACGCTCCACCACTGAACCGCAACTCCAGCACTTTTTTTCCTTTGTCCGCTGAGATGGTCTCACGGGGCTGCCTAGGCTGCCCTTGATCTTGGGGTCTTCCTTCACCCCCAGAGCAGCTGAAGTCACAGGCCTACCTGAGCCAGGAGGCTGGCTCTGATTTATTGATTTCATTCTTCATTTTCAAGTTACTTAGTATAGTAATATGACTGTGTCTTCCTGAATTATTTTGTATATGTCAAAGTAACACCTTCAGCAATATTGTAACTCAGAAAGCAACGTCTAAAACACCTGGCATTCCTCTCCAGGTGACAGAGAAGACACCAGAAAAATGCATCGACTTAATTTTTTTCTTAAATTACATTTATTGAGTGTGTGCACGTGTGTAGGCATGTAGGCCTGCATGCCAGGGGAGATTATGGAGGATAGGAGACAACTTTGAGGGGTCAGCTCTCCCTCCTATCATGTGTGTTCCAGGAGTCAAATTCACTAAGTCGATGCAGATAAAAATCAAAATATTTTAGAGATTTCTAGTTAACTATAATGAGTATACTGCCTTTCAGTTTTTTATATACAAGTATATATTTTTATGAAGCAGAGATCATATAACATTCCACATGGCTACAATGTTTGTGCTTCATATGTATACATATATAGAGACTTTATATTCTAAATACAATATATATGCCTAATTATAATATATACCTGTGACTCAAGAGGATTTCCTTTATCAGGAAATTGATTTACTTCTCATTTGTAATATCTATGGATTACATTGTCTGTCTGAAATACTTTTAGTGTAGAATACTTGGATTTTATCCAGTTTTTTTAAGATTATGCATAAAACAGTGATCATCGTTGAGAACAGCTTTAAACTTCTGGTAGTGTTTTTTGTTTGTTTGTTTGTTTGTTAGTTTGTTTTGTTTTATCTCAGACATCACAGATAGAAAGCTGTTCTGTCTGTCAATGCGTGTTCGAAAGCTCTGTGGTTCCGTTCGTGACGGGACTCCTGTTCGCTTCCTACAGCACTGTGTCTTTCAGAGCAGGCAGGACTAGCAACCCGTTATCTTTTCCCACTTTCCTAGCATGATTCTGGTGAGAGGGTTATAATCCACGATATATAACTGTAAGAGGCGGGCAAGTCTCGGGGGTGGAGAGGGAAGTACTGAAGAGGGAAAGGCTGTGGGGAAGAGCGAGACCTCGGACCAACTGCAGGGCCTGGATTTGTGCCCACTTTTAGGACCTGAGGACCAAACAGCCCTGGGTCTCCTGCAGTCTTCATTCATGTAGAGTAATTCTAGGTAAACCAGGCAGCAGGCTGGCTGTAATCCTTCCTTCAGCGTCAACGGGGAGCCGGGTCAGCATCCTTCCCGGCCTCCGAGTCATGCATGCGCTCGACCTCTGTCAAAGCCCACTACCCTGGCCCCAGGAAACAGTCTCAAAACCCAGTCAGGAAGGAGCCCCCCAGCCTCTGGCTTTCACGAATGGAGGACTGAACACCTGAGTATCGACAGGCTTACCAGAGTCGCGTCTCTGTCCTCTGAAGCGCTGATAAGGCTGCCTGTGTCAGAGAGCTGCACGTGGTTCCCATCAAGCGCGCAGCGGCGAGCAGAGGCTCGTTGCTGGGGGGAGGACAGCGAGTGAGGCAACCAAAGGGATGAAAACCATTGTAATAGGCGTACGTCGTGAGGTCTTTACTACCGTGACTCTCTGTGTCTTTCAGATGGCCTTAATTTGAGCCCCTTAAAGTTTCTGGTTTTCGACTGGAACTGGAGAGATCAGAAACTAAGGAGAATGATGGACATTCCCGAGGTACTGTGTAATCAGCTGTTGTCTTTAATCTTTTTTTTTTTCAAATTTGAACTTGAGTTCAAACACAGTAATAAAGTCTTTGACTTAGGCAGCCAGCACATTCTAGCTTTGGAAATTATTTGTCTTTAAAGCTGAGGTAACTATTATAGCGCCATCTCATCCGCTTACTCGTAACTGTATCCTTTCCATGTGTAATATACAACCTGCCTGGTTGCCGACTGAATGGCCGTGGCCCCTGCCCCACTAGGACATCTGCACTTCAAAGAAGCTAGAGGGTCTGGAGGATTTGCCCATTGCCTGTGCCTCGAATCACAGACACAGTCATCTTGGCCATTTGTTCTTACACACACAGTTTTAGCCAAAGATGGGTAAGCGGGGCTGCCTCATGGTTGGATTCTTCACATCCCCACAAAACCTACTTACATAATTTACAAAGATGTTTTCGTTTTGTGTGGAGGGTTCCTGTGTCTCAGTGGATTCAAACTGAGTCACTGTTGCTTTTGTGGGCACCACACAGCTCACTGTATATTTATGAAAAATAGTTCATTTCCCTCATAATGTAGAAATTTTATTTTACCACCCACCATGTTATCATGGAACAATTTTTCAATCTAACCTGATATGTGTGGGGAGGGAGTTATATAATAATAAATAAGGCTGCCAATCACCTACCAGGACTAAATTATGCCAGTAACTATCAAAAAGGCTTGGAGTTAGGCCTTTAAAACATGCTGTGAGTTAATTTACCACATAAAACTACTTCCCCAGACTGAACAGAGTTCATTGTAGTTGATTGACAAGTTATATTAGGCATTACTTCAAGTTAAAAAAAACCATTGGCTTAGCTTCCTATGTATGCACCCACATGTGCATACACACACACACACACAGTGGGGTGCATTCTACCTCCATGAATAGCCTTTTTTAAAACTAGTTAGATGTCAGACACATGAGGCAAGATTTGATGGTTTGTATTATAATGTTAAATCTGAGTAATCCACTGTTACAGTGTCAAAAATTTGTCATCATAGATATTTTTGTTATGTTCATGCCATTAACAATTATCACAAGGCATTCAATCCTATATTGGATCTTTGCATGAAATCTTTGGAGTCCTTGAACATTTGTATGGCATTTTCTTTTAGATGGATGCGAGCGTAAAGGCACTTCAATGAAACTGATGTTTTACACAGTCCTCTTCCTTTACCCATGTGATTCTCAACTCTGAATCAAACATGGACAGGACTTTTGCCTCTCTGGTACTGGTCATAACAGTTGTATGAACCCCTGGGACCCCAGGTGTGGACTTTGTTCACTCTGGTTCAGACCGTAGCAGCTTTATGAATACCTAGGAACTTAAGTGTGGACTTTGCCCTCTCTGGTTCTGGTCATAGCAGCTGTATGAACACCTGGGACCCCAGGTGCGGACTTTGTGCACCGAGACTACTTTTGTGTGATTATAATCTTTCTATTGTTTTTCTCTCATTTAGATAAGAAAGGAAGTTTTTGAGCTTCTAGATATGGGAGTGTTTAACCTCTGCAAGTCAGAGTCCTTGAAGCTGGGCCTTTTCTAAGCCTGGGTCCTGATGAAGTGTCCAGTTGCCACCATGCTGCAAGTGCTCAGTGACTACCAACTGTGATGTAATTATGTTAAGTGCATCCATTACCCAGTGGATCATGGGAGTGCTTCATGGGAATTCTTGGACAGCTATGAATCCTTTGGCTCATGCCTTCATTCAATAAAGAAGCTATGCCTTGTGTATGTTGTCTTTTTTGAGCAGGCTGAGTTTTTTTTTTCTCCTCTGCTTTGACTGTGTAGGAGACAGGAAACAGCAGAGCCACTTCCCTGATGGGGAAAGTCCTTCTGTTGTATATGTGCTTGTCTTATTGGTTTATTAAATAAAGCACTGTTGGCCAATAGAGAAGCAAGATAGGTGAGACTAGGAGTCGAGGATTCTGGGAAAGAGAGGCACAGTCAGTCACGATGTAGTACACAGGAGAAGTAAGAGGCCCGGACTCTTTTCTCCACTAAGAGAAGACCACGTGGAAATACTCAGATTAGCAATTATGGGTTAATAATTAAGTCAGAGCTAGCCAATAAGAAACCAAGAAAACGGCTAACAGCTTAATAATAATATAGTGTTTTGTGTGTTATTTGGGGACTGAGACAGTTTGGGACCCAGGCAGCTGGTGGGAAGACTACATGTTACACTTCCCTCTCAGTCTTAGAGACTGCAAAATGAGAATACTATCTCACAAAACTGTCAAAGAGACCATGAGATGGTGCCCATGGAGCAAGTTGGTAAACTAAAGCATTACGGCTGGGGCTATAACTCCGAAGTAGATTCCTCACATATGATTAGGGGATCTGGAAAATAAAACCCAACCCACCTCCACCCCCAACCAGGAGAGGGTTCACTTTTAAGTGCCTTTAGTGACATGGGATGAGTCCTTCCCTCATTTCTGATTGATCAGTTTAGACAGAGAAAAAGGCTCACAGCTCTTGTCAGGCAGGTCAGCTGGATTCCACCATGGGGAGACTGATGCCTGCTGGGTCTTTGTCATAGCTTGAAAGGAAGCTGGAAGTTTAGCCCCTTGTCATGTATGGTCTCTTCTCATATCCCTCTGTCTGTCCAGTGAAATTTGACTGCGGCAAATCATGGTGTTGGCACACAATGCAGCACTAGGAAGCTAGAAAGAATAAGTGTAGAGGCTGCGCTATGGTTCAGTGGTAGAGCACTTACCTAGCATGGATGAGGTCCTGGGTTTGAACCCCACTCTGCACACAAAAGAACAAGTGTACCTGGTACAGACAGACAATAAATACAACAGCCCTATCCATTTACATATTTGAGTTTTTTATTTGAAATAATTTCCAATATGCACAATTTTTGCAAAAATAATGTAGATAATTCCCATGTCCCCTTCCTCAGGCTCTCCCAATATTACCATCTAATACACCCACTGCACAGGTACCAAAACTGACAAAGTAACATCGGCACAGTACAGGTAAACTGTAGATGTTATTCTGGTGTCACAGTGTTTCCTCTAATGACCTCTTCCCAGCCTAGGACCCCGTGGAGGATCCTGATGCACCTGTTACTCTTGCTTATGGTGACAGTGCCTCGTTCATAGCTTCTCTCGTGACGTCACGGGACAAGCACTCACCATTCCTTTTGTAAACTCTCCTAAGTTCTGATTGTCTATATTATAATGGGAAGCTTTGTGGGTTTTGGTCAGAACCACAGTGGTAGTGTGCGCATCTCTCTGTGTCGTATCAGGGGATGCATAATGTCACTGTGTCTTGGATCCCCATGATATTGGCCTGGAACACCTGGTAAAGATGTCAGCTGCCACTTTCCTCCATGGTAGAAAGATGTGCCATTTTTCTCTTTATAGTAAGTATCTGTCTCAGAGGACACACTTTGATGATATGTAAATACCTTTTTCTTTAAGCCACCCAGGAATTTTTAGCAGCCACTGATTATTGCTGCAGTTCATTATTTCAGTGTCTTTTCTATTCCTTCCATTCTGTTCATCTTTATTGGAATCCCTGTGAAAAGGAGCTTTTGTGGTTCTCAGTTTCTTTGTTCAGCTATGTTTCACACCCATAAGCAAGCATGAATATTTTATTCTATGAGTTGTAATACATCGCTATTTTAATTTTATTGATCAAATTCTTCTTTTGTTTGTTTTGTTTCAAGAGGGGTTTCCCTGTGTAGCCCTGGCTAATCCTGGAACTCACTCTGTAGACCAGGCTAGCCCCAAACTCTACCTGCTTCTGCTTCCTTAGTGCTGGGTTTAAAGGCACACACCACCATACATGCTCAATAATTTGTCATCATTGATATTTTTGTTACATTCATGTCATTAACAATTATCACAAGGCAGTCAATCCTATATTGGAAAAAACTACTATTATTCTGCAAAAGGAACACAGCAATAAAATCACTCCTTATAATGTACTGCTATGCTCATAGATCAGTGCCTCACTAGACCCTCATCAGAGAAGCTTCTTTTTGCCCTGGATGGTAATAACACAAAGACCCACAGCTGGACAATGCCCAGACAGTGAGAAATGTCATCATCAAACCCCTTCCTCAAGCCTCGTGGATCGATCAATATGGAGAGATTGTAGAAGCCAGAGGGGATGGATGACTCCAAGGAAACAGCACCTTCTAAGCACAAGAGTGAAACACATGCATTCACAAAGCCTGTGACAGCATACACAAGACCTGAACAAGTTCAAACCAGACATGATGCCAGAACTGAGAAGTGAAGTGAACACAAAATCCCACCCCTAACCAAGAAGCTATGCAATTGATACCTGCTGGGAATGGAAAATCGGTTTCTCCCATGGGATGTACTAGGGTATATCAACCATACTGCAGGATGGACCCCTGCTCAGGAATAATTGGCCAATAGAAAGCACAGACTGGAGTTTGGGAGATTTGCTTTGCTTTGTTGTTATTGTTTCTGTGGGCTTTTTCCTTTCGTTTTGGGTTTTGGGGGGGCTATTTTTTTTTACCTTATTAGATTTTTTGGTTTCTGTTGTTGTTTTTTGAGAGGGAATATGAGGCTGAATAAGTAAGGTGGTGGGGAGGATTTGGGAAGGAAAGAATATGATAAAAATATATTGTGAGAAATAGATAATAAAAAAAGATCAAAAGTTTACAAAAAGTAAATATAAATAGGTGGATATATGTTGTGTTATCTCTCTTAAGAATATTGCCCAGAGATGTTTGCACTTACTGCCTATGGGGACAGATTTTAATATGTCTACTTGGCTGAACAACCCTAGAGTAGGTAGACATTTCCTGTGTGGCTGTCATTGATAAGAGTAACATTTATGGGCTGGGTGGTGGCGCACGCCTTGAATCCCAGCACTCAGGAGGCAGAGGCAGGAGGATCTCTGTGAGTTCTGGCCAGTCTGGTCTACAAAGCTACACAGAGGAACCCTGTCTCAAAAAATAATATTTAAATCATTGTACTTAATTAACCCAGATTGCACTTCATTACGTGAGTGGGATTCATCTGTTCCATGTAAGACCTGGACAGAACTAAAGCTCAGAGCCCCCACTCCCAAGTAACAGAATTCTAACTGAAAAACTGACTCTTCCTAAGGTTATGCCGTCTGCTGGTCTTCAGAACTCAGCTGGGACACTGACTAGACACAGCAGATTTTGGACTTAACTTCTATAATTGTGTGAGACAACTCCTTACCATGTATACGTATGTGTCTGTGGATTTGATTTTCTGGAGAGGCATGGTTAACACATTACCTGTGAAACTTTTTAAAGTTTGTGGTCTTGTTTTATGAGAAGGCTAAGAAATACTGTTCTTAATGGTTCGTTGTAGAAATAACCCTTTTATTGGGCACTATCTGTTTTAACGTCGGAATAGGACCTTAAGTCACAAATGTGCCTGATGGCTTATGGAACAGTTTAAGACAGATAAATCTAATCGTGTACTCTGTGGCTGCCCTTCACAGCCAAGCCCTTAGCCAGATTCATTTACCAAAACAACTAATAGCTTTTAACCCTGTCCTCTGGCACCTCACACACACTAGGTGACAGCAGCACCCTGTCTAGTCACCACTTGCAGGTCAGATTCAAATGGCATGCCAAAACTCCCACGGGAAATTTGCTTTTCGTATGTTTGTTTTGCAAGTATAAAGATTGATTCTGAATTGGAAACTTCCTACTGTATATCTTTGCATTTTCTTGATACTCTTTTAAACCAGTTCCATTTGGTAATTGCCTCCATTGACACATCATGGCTTCTCTGCCTACTTTAAAAAATTCAAATTATAAAATAAAATTATAAATGGTTAATGGCCAAGGGAGAAAATCCTCAAACCAGAGCTAATACCATATTGCAAGACTTGGATATCTGATAATGCTTTGTGAGTGTTTAGTCCGTGCACTAGTGCATGCAGTGCCTGAGGAGGCCTGAAGAGGGCATTGGATCCCCTGGGTCTAGAATTAAAGACCTGTAAACTACCATAGGGGTGCTGGGAATTGAACCTGGGTCCTCAGGAAGAACAGCCAGTGAGTGCTCTTAACCACTGAACCATCTCTCCAGCCCCAAAAGGAAATGTTGCAATCTATGTTTTCTGCCTGGGTCTTTCTTATGTATGACAAAAAAGGAAAGAAAGAAACAAAGAGAGAAAGAGGAAGAAAGTTAGTGAAGTTAAATACATGCACATATATTCTGCAGATTCCAGTTTCTCCTTTCTGTATCACCACTAATGGCAAAACTAGCTTTAATCTCAGGACATTTTCCAACTAGTTCAAATTCTTGTTAGGCAATAGCTATATTTGGGAGAAAGCTGATAGCCCTAACTTCAATTGTATTAATCACCAAAGATTTACACAAGTTCATAAAGATAAATTTAGGAAGATTTTGCCTTGACTTTGCCAACAACCCTCAGAAACAGCCTGTAGCAACCTCTTCCAAGCGTGAGCAGTTGGTTTTTACAGATGTTGAGGGGAACCCTCTTAGGTGTGGCATTTAACACAACAGGCTTTCTGAGTTGCAATGAAGTGCACCCACCAGTGACCAGCGAGAGCTGTGCTTACTGTAGCAGGTCTGCTTAGAGAACAAGACAGAAAGCAAAAATGACTTCACAACTGCATGTCATTCTTCATGTAGATTAGCATTATGTGTTATTACTACAATCATGAATGTTCTCAATGTCCCAAAAGTACGTGAGTCACCTACAGGACCAAAATGGAGGTGATGCCCCAATATGACCTGTCCAGACTGCCAGAAAACACAGCCCTGAAGCAGCAAAAGTTGCCTGCCCACCAGCTAGATTTATCTGCCTCGGTGGTCCTCTGTATCTTTTTTGCCACAGGCGTGTTCTGCCTCTGTATGGGCGTTGTCCTTCTACTGTCTGCGAAGAGCACCAAGGAACTTGAGGTTTGTTGCATCTCACATTTTAAATTTCCAAAGGTTTTCAGTTTGGGACTGTAAATGGCAGCAGTCACTTTATGAATAGAGCCCCTCAATGGGAAACTAGATCTGACCGGATCCACCCAACTTTGGGCCAACAGGGATGCAGATGGGAGAGGAGCCCTTAGTATTGACTTCATTCTTGCTGTCACACTGTTCACCTCCAGGCACATTTATGTGCGAGAACCTGGCCAAATCAGGTGATCTTTGTAGAATGGGAGCAAGCAACAAACAGAGGTAGAAGGAGAGTCAAGTTCAAAAGCTAGACAGATCCCAATAATCCATATGATAGTGAACCCAGAACCAAAAATAGAGATCTTGGGGGGGGTGAAGCATATGAGCTTTTAGATACTGTTATTATGTAATTAGCATGTCATGGTTATAATAGTTCGCTGGGCACAGTGAGTTTTTCTAGTACATGTTTACAAATATATACTGAGCAAATCAAGGGAATTGCACTTTTTCTCTCCTTGCTTTCTTTATGATAAGCTTCTATCTCCTCTCCTCTGATATCCATGAAATATAGGAAGTTGCTGAAGTTGCTATAAGCCAAGACACACTCTGCTATACTGTGGTGCACAAGGATCATTCTTTCTGTGTTTACATCACCTCATTCAGCTCCACTCCCCCTCCCGCTGCCCTTCCTACCTTCTGGCTGATTAACTCTCCCCTTTGCAGATGACCTGTTTTAGCTTCCATATGTAAGTGAGCACAAGATCCGTTGTTCTAGTACCCTCCATATCCATTCATTTCCCTGGTAATGACAAGGTTGCGTTTATGGCTAAATAATGTTCCATTTTAAATATACTATATCATCTTTATTCATCTGTCACTGGACAAGGAAATCAATTCCTTAACATTATGAATAGGGCTGCAAAAATGTGGGAATATGGGTATCTTTTTAATGTACTAATGTCATTATCTTTAGCTATATACTCAATGAGAGGAATCGCTCTCTTTACATGTCACTTCAAGTATAAATGACACCTGCCTCTCAAGTTCCATGAACAGCAGATTACAGTATTTGCTGCTTTTGTCTGTAGGTTTACAAGTTCAGCTGAACACTGGATTGCAAGATACTGTTACATTATGTGCACAGTATATTGGGGACATGTATTTCTCACTAAAATTCTTAAAGGTAGAAAGCATCAGAGATGCCATCTCATCAAAACCTGTATGGTCATGAAACATTTCCTCTAATTCTGTGTCCATAACTCAGAATGGAATGTGACATCACTTGTAGATAAATTGTTATACGAAACATACTGATGATCAAAATTTCGGAATCCTCCAGTCAAAAGAGGACTTTGGGCACACTGGAGCCCCAGTTACCAGGGTGCTTGTGTTATCTGTGCTTGCACTTGACTGGCATACTGTCCTATTCTTTAATGTTCTTTATAAACTGAAGTATAGTCCCACATCAAAACAGGCATGATGTTTCTCAAAGTAATCATTCAAGCAATGCCATGTGTGTAAAGAATGGTGACTTGGAACATTGGTAGTACTTACATATTTATACTTCACTTTTCTGCTGTAACTCCTTAAGGGTCTTCACAAAGAGTCAATATTTCTTTTTCCTGTTAATTTTCTCTCCAAAAGAATCCTACATCCTATTGATACCTTACCAAAGAGAAAGCCTTGCTTCTCTGAGCTTCCACTCTCCCAGAATCCTCTGCTAAGTCTTCATCATAGACTGGGGAGCAGAATCTGCCCACAGGATTGGGGAGCACACAGCCCCTGGGCTCCCCATTTCTGAGCCTCCCCTCCCAGTCTCTCAGCTTCATCCTCCCAGAACTGAGTACTGAGTGTTTTGCCAGAGCTCACAGGAGCCACTCATCTGGGACACTTGACTCTTCTTTTTTTTAAGAAAAAAATAATTTATCATATAATTCGTCCACAGAATTTAGCTTTCATAATGCAGAACAGAATACCAATAACATGCACCAATAATCTTATTGAGAAATATCACTTTCCTGCTTGGTCACTTTTAGCAACTTCCTCCAGATGACATGAGAAATCATTATATTTCCATACAATAAAATGGAAAGTAGAGAGTGAGTTCCCTTTAAAGGTTATTAGACTGAGACTGTAAGGACAGTTTTCATGAAGTGTTGGCTAATACCTTCCTAGCAACCCTTCTTCATGACTGAGAAGGAAAGCAGTTTCATCCCAACTGATCACATAAGTGTGAGTCAGAGACATGGAGGTCCAAACTAGTGTCAAAATACCTCCCAGTGACCAAATGGAAGACTGTGAGAAGGTCTCCTCATAAGCACCCCAGAATAAAACACCCACAAAGCAGACTGTTCTCTAGCCATGTCATTTTGGATAGATTAAGGCATTTAAATGAATTATTGTGTTTTCTGCATGACAGATTAATTACACAAACATATGTGCAAATTGTGCTCAGCTACGGGAAGATAGCTCTAATTTTGACAAAGAATGCACCTGTTCTGTTCCCTTTTACCTTCTGGAGAAAATGGAGGTGAGTTCAATTGACATCATGCTGATGGACCTCCACATATTTCTGCACTTGGTTTTGTACTGTCCATCAAATTTTGTATAAAAACTGAAAAATACAAGAAATAAAGCAAGGTAGAAATGATAAGTCTTGAGTCCGTGACGATACAACTTCAGAATGTCTTTTTGTGTTAATTATTATTATTGTTTTTTTTCTGTTTCTAAACCTCAAGGTTCTTTTTTTTAAAATTGCTTATTTTACATCTAAACCATGGGTTCTCTTCCCTCCTCTCCTCCAATCCCCTCTCCCCTAACCCTCATTCACTCTTCCTCTGTTTCTATTCAGAAAGGGGGAGGCTTCCCATGGGCACCAGCAGAGCATAGTGTGTCAAGTTGCCATAAGACTAAGCTCCTCCCCTTGTATTTAGATTGGGCAAGGCAATCTAGTATGAGGAATAGGTTCCTAAGAGCTAGCCAAAGCATTAAGGAGAGCTCTGGCTCCCATTGTTAGGAGTCTCACAAGCTGACCAAGCTACACAACTGTCATATATTTAAAGGGCTTAAGTTGGCTTCATGAAGGCTCCGTGGTTGTTGGTTCAGACTCGGTGTGGGTTTTTGTGATGTCCTTGACCCCTCTGGCTCCTACAATCCTCTTGAGCAGGATTCCCTGAACTCCTCCTAATGTTTAGCTGTGGGGTTTTGTATCTGTTTCCATCAATTACTGGATGAAGACTCTCTGATAACAATTGGGGTAGTCACCAATCTGATCACAGGGGATGGCCAGTTCAGGCTACATATTCACGATTGCTAACAGTCTTAGCTGGGTCACCCTTATAGGTTTATGGGAGTTTCCCTTGCATCAGGTTTCTCCCTGTCCCTGAAAAGGCCACCCACCACCAACCATAAGTTTCTAAACTTTCCAGCATGACTTGTACGATCAATGACACAGGTTCTCTTATAAACATCTATGTGGACAGGGCTATAGAACTTTTTAACACCTCATGTTAAGAGAAATCATTAATGGACTAAGAAGTTACGTGACTTAGCCAAGGTCACACATCAAGTTAGTGTCAAGAGTTTTACCTGGCAGACTTCTCCTTGGTCTCTCCTACCCCAAGTCATCTTACCAGTGAAGTTGCTGGACCCCAAAGAGTCTCTCAGCCAGACTCACTAGCAGTGAGGAATGCCTAGAAATAAAAAGAGAAAGCCCTTCTGCTGGGCTGATTAAACTCTCCTGTAAATACAGGTCCTAGGGGGACTCAGTGAAGAAGTTTCCAGAACAGGAGGAGGCAAGGAGAGCTGTCCACCTTGACCTTTAGGAAAGAGGGAGGGTGGAGAAGTGAGTGGATTTTCAAGAGATGATAATGAACTGGGTTTGGGATCAGCTGAGTGAGCGGTAAGCCCTAAGGTGGGGTGCTCCGTGGAGAGAAAACTAGTCTGTACCTGATTTCTATGTATAGTGGCAGAATGCAGAGCACAGGATAGACATTTGAAATAGCTTTGGGGAGTAGAATAAAATGCATTTTTCTTTTAAGTCTTGACTGCTAGGTAAAACCATGGAGGGATAGAAATGTCTTCTCAGCTTTCCCTAGGGAGAATGTAGCTGAGAGGTGGCCCTAGCTCTGTACCCAAGGGCCAGGCTTCTAGGTGATCTTATGAGCCAGTGACTGGTAACAGCAGTTACTAATGTAGGCTCCCCCCAGAAGAGAAGCTTCCCATGAGGCATCACATAAGCCTTCCTGTCAGCTTGCTCACCAGTCTTAAAAAGTACTTCAGCCTGTAACCTCCCTTCTAGCCTCAAGTCCAACCATTCCTTCTTCTGCATTCCCCTCTCCTTCTTTCCTTCTTGAAGGCTCAGAATATTTAAGTTTTTGAAGGAAGAAAAACCCCAAAGACAAGACTTACTATCAATTCCCACCTATCTGTGTCCTTGGGGAAAACACAGAATATGCTGCTAAGGCAATGAGATTCCTTACCAGAGCCGAGACACAGGAAACTCCTAGTCTCTTGCCTCCTGTGTGCCCAGCGTGCATGTTCACCTGCATATGCGCAGTGACTCCAGTTCTAAGTTACAGCACCTGGATTTACTTGGAAACTGTATTCACAGTTATGGGTACTTACATCAATGCAAAATGTTAGGTGTTGTATATTTGTTCTCCCCAAAATAAACATTAAAACAGCCCTGAAATGCAAGACAGAATGGTGACCACCAAATGGCCGTGTGCAGTTTCAACTTGGTGCAAAGTCAAATCCTAGGTCCATCCCACAGAGCAATACACACAAACCTTCAGTCAACCCTGCCAATCAGCACCTCCTCCAGGTCACTCCATGGCAACGATGCCACAAACTCAGAAGCATGTTCTGTACAATCATCCTAGCAAGGTTGTTCATCTGAAACACAGTGTGCTGGCCCTCATCCATCCCTAAATACGCCCAGTACTGTTATCCACCCTACTGCTCCTAGACTACCTTTTAGTGCAACGAGGCAGCACTACAGGCCTACAGCAGTAACTGCCGTGGCTACACCTGCTGTCCCACTACGCCATAGTATAAACACACTGCATGGTCTCCAGCAACTTCTTAATACATAGCCTGTTCTTCACACACAAGGTCATTAACTTTTGACCACTGTCCCACTCAAGAGTATCAGCATATGCTGGGTGAGCAGCAGTTATCTCTTAATCAAGGCGCACACGCCTCTCTTACTGGGAAAATCACTGGAATGTTGTTAGTTGTTAATTACTCAAACCACTTCAGCTGCTTAACTCCCTGCCTCTCTACTCTGAAGCTGATAAAACTAATGATGCTGTGTCAGAGGCTACCACGCCAAAGAGGCTGCTGGGAAGGCTTATTCCAGTGCTGCCGATGTCCCAGATGTTTCAGATTCATCGGGGACCCCAAAAAGAAACTTGTGTTTCATCAAGGAAAATGTCTAGATATTGAAATCTTGTAAATAGTATTTTAAAATTTTAGAGCATGCTACACCAAGTATTTTTCCTGGTATTGCCACAAAGACAAAATTCATAAATCTGTATTTATGCACTGAAGATACACCACCTAATGTTGGGCTCGATGCTACATACCTTTAATCCCAGGACTCCAGAGGTAGAGGCAGGCAGATGTCTGTAGGTCCAAGGCCATCCTGGTCCTATGTCAGCCAGGACTATACAGTGAGACTCTGTCTCAAAACTTTTTTTTTCTACTTTCTAAAAAGAAACTTTCAGTTACTATCAATGTTTTGTATACAGTTTTCTGGGTTTTTTTAAAAAAGAGGTGTTGATGTTTATTAATATCCCAGTCAATTTGTCTTATTTGCTTCTTATTTCTCTTCTATGCAGGGTAATGTTTACATGTACTACAAATTATATGGTTTTCATCAAAACCTCTATCGATACGTTCTATCAAGAAGCAATAGTCAGCTGTTGGGCAAGGATATCTGGGTAAGGTTCAGTCCCAATTGGTATAATATTCTCTTCTTTTAAGCCAGGGGTTGCTTCAGTCTAAAAAGCAGGAGTGTGGCAGGCTCAGCATCTAGATTTTTAAAGATAGAAATAAATGTTTGCTTCATTGTTAAAGTGTTGAGCATTTTAGGTAAATATTATTGAGAGAGAATACTGGCCCCCTTTAAAGCAGTTAGTGTGGTGCTAGCCAACTAAGTAGTCACCCTTTCATGGGTTTTGAGAGGCCTCGGCCTCTCTTTGGTTCACTTGCTAACCATATTTTGTCTGCCTTTCTATAACCCAGGTCCTTGATCCATCCTAAAGGGAAATTTGCTTGAATAAATGTCTTTGGTTTAACTAAGTATAAAAGCCTAGGTTTAACCTAAGATTATAAGTTTTTATTTTCAATAGTTCATATACATTAGCAAGAGAAGCTAACATCCTGACAGTCTATGAAAGTGATAACCTAAACATGTTTACCAAGCAGGTCCCTATGACATCATCTAGTTATGGAGTCTGACCTGAATACTCCTCTGAATATGGTACACTTTCACAAAAAGATTGTTAAAATTGTTCTTGTGTAGACTTAATGTGATACTCAGCAGAGCAAGGTAAAAGAAAATCCTCCCTGCAAATAGTTTTAGCATGCTCTGTATTATTAAGAAGGAAATAAAATACCTAGACACCCATGTGCACATTTACCACCAAAGACTGAATGTGAGTGAGTAGTCGGAGAGCCGGGGGAAACAGGTAGCAATCCGTACTCTTTCCCCGTGCCAATATACTAATAGGGGCTGATGCGCATTGCCAGTGTTCTCTCTTTCAGTAGTCTGAGAGTTTTGCCAAAAGCACTTCTCATTGATGTATCATCTTGCATATAGGATGTTAAGGACTGTTCTCCATTCCAAATGTCCCACAACAACACTCCCATCATTCCTTGCGGTGCAATTGCCAACAGCATATTCAATGGTAGGTGACTTTTTTCCTACCTCTTTCATAAGTGTGTAACCACTTCCACATCTAGGATGTTCCCTGGGGCAGCTGAGTGGCTGGTTTTATTTATTTAATGCCAAGTATTTTATCCAGGATAAGCCAAAACACTGATGTCTAGTGTTTCGTTTCTAGATAACTTCTCCTTTGCCAACAAACTGAAAGAATAGTCAGAGAACACGAATTAAATGGAGCCAAAGGATATTTTTTCAGCAATTGGCTCAATGTTGGTAAAGGAAAAATAATGATCTCATGATTCAGCATCTATGGCATGTAGGCGTGTTAAGTGTCTGCAAAAAAAAACTAATTTGTTTTTCATCTGTGTCTAGGTCTGCATTTTGAAAGGTGGCAAAATGGCTATCTAACATCTCTACCATAAATTTACATTTTCTTTCAGATACCATAACTCTTTCATACAACCTTAATTCGTCTATACATATAAAAGTCCCAATGCTGAAGAGTGGGCTTGCATGGTTGACAGATAAGTATGTCAAGTTTCAGAATCCAAGAACCAGTGACCTTGCTAGTGTATTTGCAGGTAAGATCCAGACAGTTGCTCAATAGCCCCTTTCACACCCCATTTTTGGAGACAGGGTCTCTATACATAGCTCTGGCTTTTCTGAACTCACTGTGAACACCAGGCTACCATAGAACTCAGAGATGTACCTGCCTCTGCCTCCAGAGTGCTGAGATTAAAGGCATGTGCCCCCATGCACAGTTCCCTATGTTTTTATAAGATTGTGTGTGTGTGTGTGTGTGTGTGTGTGTGTGTGTGTGTGTGTGTCTAGGGAGAACCCACAAGGCTTCTTCTTCATTTTATTTATTTTTTTAGTCTCTTTGGTTCTTGTGACTCTAACTTTCTCCATCCTGGGTACCTCCATTGTTTACTTATTAGAAAAGCAAAATAATTGGTTCTGTGTTTTGTTTCAATTAGCCATTAAGAAAAAGTAAATGTTTTGGGAAACTCATGTTTAAGCTACAAATTTTCATGCAGCTGAACACATTGTTTTGGGGGTTTTGACACAGAATTTGTCTGTGTAGTCCTGGCTGACCCGGAACTCCCTCTGTAGACCAGGCTGACCTCAGAGATCTGTCTCCTGCCTCCAGAATGTTTGGGTTGAAGGCGTGTACTACCATGCCCAGCTTCAACTGGATGCATTTTTTTAAGAATAAAAATAACGATCTACTTATTTGAATTTTTCATTTATTGATTTGTAAATTGACATTGTATTGATGGACCTATAAAACAATTCTACTCAAATATACTTTAATGTTTTTGAAAATCTACTTTCAACAGTGATGTTTTTCAAAAAATTAAATATATAAATGCATATTAAGCATCTTTTGAAATATTTGCTTTAATTATTGCCAAAACACTAAAAGATAATACAGCAGATTAATTTTCCTGGATACCCATTCACATACTTAATTGGTTTCTTGGCTGCATATATTATGGCCTTATTATTTTTAATTATTTCATAATATTGTCTGAAGCTTTAAAAGATGAATTCTGGAGCTAATCAATTTGAGATTCTCAGCACCAGTAAATGAGTCTTCTCTTTTGACTCTGAGTAAACACCATCTCCATACTTACTGTCAATATTGTTAAATGGGGTAGGTCTTAAGGTTTCTTTTTCTTTTTTATTATTTATTTATTTGTTTGTTTGGGTTTTCTCATGACAGGGTTTCTCTTTGTAACAGCTCTGTCTGTCCTGGAACTTGCTCTGCAGAACAGACTGGCCTCTAACTCACAGCGATCAGCCTGTCTCTGCCTCCCAAGTGTGAGGATTAAAGGCCTGTGCCACCACTGCGTAGCTTAGTTAGGGTTTCTGTTGCTGTGACAAAACACCATGACCAAAAATCAAGTTGGGGAGGAAAGGGTTTATTCAGCTTATACTTCAGTATCGCTCTTCATCACCAAAGGAAATCAGCACAGGAACTCAAACAGGGCAGGAACCTGGAGGCAGGAGCTGATACAGAGGCCAAGGAGCGGAGCTGCTTACTGGCTTGTTTCCCATGACTTCCTTAACCCACCTTCACACAGAACCCAGGACTAAAATCCCAGAGATGGTGCCACCCACCATGGGCTGGGCCCTCCCCAATTGATCACTAAATGAGAAAATGGGTCCCATGGAGCCTCAACCGAGGCTCCTTCCTCTGTGATGATTAGCCAGTACAGAGGGGAATGTCAATGCTTTATATTGTATATTATTTATAATTAATTTATTGATTTTTACATTCCAAGCCCAGCTCCTCCTCCCTCTCCTCCTCCTGCTCTCTCCATCACAGTCTTGACTCCTTTGTCATGTTATCGCTCCTCCCTGACTTTGATTGCACTCCAGGAGGTCGGCCTGATGGTTAGTTACAGATCTCTGCATGTGCGTCCATCTGTTTCTGGAAGAGGAATCTAGCTTCTCTGAGGTTGTGGATTGTAGGCTGGTTATTCTTTGCTTTATGTCTGGTATTCACTATGAGTGACTATGTACTATATTTGTCTTTTGGGATCTGGGTTACCTCACTCAGAATGTTTTTTTCTAGTTCTGTCCATTTGCTTGCAAATTTAAAGATACCATTGTTTCTTACCACTGAGTAGTACACCATTGTGTAAATGTTCCACATTTTCTTTACCCAAAAATGTCAATCTTTATTTCATCGTAGTGAAGTATGCTAGTATTTTAATCCAAGTATTTTCATAGGCTTTTTTAATTCACAGTTTTTTTTTCTATTTTTGATTATTTTAATGTATCATTAGGTTTAGGTGCTACAATATAAATCCCAAACTTTCTCAATTTCTGACACAGAAATTTTTTAAGCAAAAGTGCTACCAATAAATCAAAATAGCTGGGTGGTAGTAGTGCATGCCTTTAATCCCAGCACTCAGGAGGCAGAGGCAAGCGGATCTCTGTGAGTTTGAGACCAGCCTGGTCTACAGAGCTAGTTCCAGGACAGCCTTCAAAGCCACAGAGAAACTCGGTCTCCAAAAAAAAAAAAAAAAAGTCAAAATAATCCGAGGCATAATTATAAAGTTCAAAAATTGAATCTAATTTTGAACTATCGCTATGTAATGTGTTCCTTTACTGCCACCTGAGTAAGCCTTACTGCTTCTTTGTTTGGAGGCTTAGTTTTCCATAAATATGGCCCCAAAAGTCCTCACAACCTAACTTTTGTGACATTACCTGCTTTGCATACCTTTTTTTTTTTTTTTTTTTTTTTTTTTGGTTTTACGAGACAGGGTTTCTCTGTATTGTTTTGGAGGCTGTCAGTCCAGCCTGGCCTCGAACTCGAACTCACAGAGATCCGCCTGCCTCTGCCTCCCGAGTGCTGGGAGTAAAGGCATGTGCCACCACTGCCCGGCGCATACTTTAAAAAGACTTCAATTATCTTCCACAAAATGCAACCCGAAGTTAAAGGGCTCATAAAAAAAAGTTTGGGATCACCATAGAATTCATCGTGGCTTGTGGATGTGCGAAAGCCTTCCTTAAAGTTTCAGGCATTCCAAAACTTCTCTTTAATAATATGCATGCTGAAATATGTACCTACCTGTCATACATGTCACTCTTAAGTATTTTGCAGTTTTTTGTCACTATAGAGAACATACTTGCCTGTGCAGCTGAAACTCTTGTAAGCAATGTGCTGTAGCATTAATGAGCTCTACTGTGCTCTATGCATGTACCACACCAGTTTAAGGACATTTCCTCTCTGTTGCTTTCTCTAGTTACTGAGAGAATTAGCATCATTTGGGGGTTCTGCTCCACCAAATTTGTACGTCTTTTATTACTAGAAAGGCAAACAATTTAAAAGCTAGACTGTTGGCATTCTTAACTGAGTTTATAGTAACATCTATAATAAATGCCAGATTTTTATCTTTGTGATTGACTTTCTGAAAGCTTTGCTTTGATTCTGTGAGGAATTAAAACCCAAGGGCTTATTATTACCTGAATTTTCCTGTCTGAAGACATTCATGTAAAACCAGTTTCATTTAACTATTCACAGTTCTTTTGTGCTGATGAAGTCAACACATTAAGGCCTTTTCTTTGGCTATGAAAAAAAAGTTTTAAGTAGAAACGTAGGGACTAGAGAGAGAGCTTAGTAGGTAAAGTGCCTGCTGCAGCTTGAGGACCTAAGTTCAGATCCCTGGTACCCACATAAAAAGCTGGATGTGGCCACGAGCACCTGTGACCCTCGTTCTGCTGGCAGGGTCCTGGGGGAAACAGGTAACTCCCTAGAGCCCCTAGCCAGCCAGTGTAGCCAATTGGAGTACTCTGGGTTCAGGAGAGGCCTTATCTAAAAAGGCTATGTAGGAAGACACCCAGTGTTTATTAGGAGCATGCATATGCTCACACGCATGTTCATGCACACATACACAGGTACACCTTTACACATACAAACACACAGTGAAAGGAAGCTAGGTGTACTGTCTATTCCAGCACTCCAGCATGTGGAAAGGGACTTTATATCAAAAAACCTACATAAACAACAACAAAATGAATATAGGAGTAAATCCATTTCTTTCTTATTTTCTGGTAACAGGGTCTCATAGTCTCACTCTGGCTGACTTTGGACTCACAGAGATCCTCCTGACCCTGCCTGCTGAGTACTGGGACTGAGGGTGTGTGCTACCATGCCCAGCTCCATTTAATCTTTTTTTTCCTTTTTTTAAAATTTAAGTTAGAAACAAGATTGTTTCACGTGTCAATCCCAGCTCCCTCTCCCTCCCCTCCTCCCCAGCCCTCCCCACCAGGCCTCCAAGTCCCCCAGCCTATCTCCACTCCAATCCCCAGGGAGGGTGAGGCCCTCCATGGTGGATCCCCAGAGTTTGTCACTTCATCCAGGGTAGGGCCTAGGCCCTCCTACAAGAGTCCAGGCTGAGAGAGTATCTCTCGTTGTGGGATGGGCACTCAAAGTCTATTCGTATGCCAGGGATAAATACTACCCAAGGCCCCATAGACTACTAGGCCTCCTCACTGACACCCACATTCAGGAGGTCTCTTAATGAAGTCATGCTCCCAGAAAGATATATAAATGGGCCTTCTGTAGGAGTTAAACCATTGTCTGTCTGGATAGAGTCTTTATTTTATTTATTTATTTATGTATTTATTATTTTGTTGTTGTTTTTCAAGACAGGCTTTCTCAGTGTAGCTTTAAAGCCTGTCCTAGAACTCAAACTATAGACCTCAAGCTATAGACCTTGAACTCACAGAGATCCGCCTGCCTCTACCTCTGGAGTGCTGGGATTAAAGGCGTGTGCCACCACTGCCTGGCCTGGATAGAGTCTTTAAACACAAACTTTTGAAGTAAGTTCAGACTGATTTACATTTTCACATGGTCATTAACATCACTGTGGTTTCCATGATGGGATGATGTCAACCAAACTGAGTCATTTCCAGCAACTTTAAGATGAACTTAATTTTACATTACACATGCATTCCAGTTTTTAGCTCTTGACAGCTAAATGAAATGAAACACAAGAAATGTTATTGTTTCATAGTGAATGGGTGAATGAATGAATGAATGAATGAATAAATGAAAACAAACGACCCAAATTAGCTTGGAAAATGAAAAAGCTGACAGACCATGCATCTGACCATCATCCAGATATATGGAAAGTGGTGGAACTGGAATGTGAGAGAGGTCTTAAAACCTGCATTTCAGGGTCGGAGAGGTGGTTCGGTGGTTAAGAGTGCTGGCCACTCTTCCAGAGGACCCAAGTTCAATTCTCAGCACCCACATGGCAGCTCACACCTGTCTGTAACTCTAGTTCCAAGGTTTCTGGCACCCTCACACAGACATACATGCACCAGTGAGCATAAAATAAAAATAAACTTTAAAAAATTGATGTTTTTAAATCCCTGGCATACATTGCTTTGGGTCATGGTTACAAGGCAAACTAGTAAGTAGCTGGGGTCTACAATGGAAGCCCCAAACACATTTTTTGTTAGCATCAATGACTGAAGTCTTGCTAAGGGCCAGAATAGATGGTTCTGTGGTATTAGCAGAGGAGGATTCTCTAGCACAGGATTATTTCCAGAGGAGATTACTTCCTCTGGAAATAATCCTGTGCTAGAGTTGGATGGTACAAACTACTCCAGCCCATTAATCACACTAGACTTAGTATAGTTCTTAGAAGCACCTAAGCCTGTTCCTGGGGGTTCTATGAGAAGCAAACCATCCCAGTTGGAAAAGAATGGTGTTTTGGTTATGGTTGTTGTTGTTGTTGTCTTTGAGACAAGGGCTCACCATGTAGCCTTGACTGACTGAGAACTCCTAGAGTCACCTGTCTCTGTCTCTACCTCCCAGTGCTGGGATTAGAAGAGTGTGACACCACGCTCATCCAAGAGACTTCTTATTTGTCTTTTGAGTCTCCTGTAGGTAAAAGGACTAGCCTTACAGTAGTAAAAAGTCCCTCACACAATCTACTGTTGTTGGTTGGCTATCTGAAATTCAGCGTGGGTCCTATTGACGTTGGCAGATTGATGAAGTTTCTTTGATCCCTTCATCAAGCATTAACTGATAATTGATTGAATACCTGTTGTGTACCAGGAACTGGAACCAACGATAGTGAACAGAGGAGGGTGATTCTGTTTTCCAGTGTGTTCTGTAGAGTAGGGACAGCAATGCTCTCAACAGAAAATCCTCTTGTGATAGTTGGTGCAAAGTCAACAAACATGTCTCCTGCCTTCACACTGGCCTGTATTCCAGCACCCAACACTTTTTCCCACTTTCTTTTCTTTCTTTTCTTGAAGTTTATTTCTATTTCATGGGTGCGTGTGGGTGTGTATGGGGCTGGGAATGTGTATGCATGTGGGGGAAGTCAGAAGAAAACTTCTGAGAGCTGGTTCTCATCTCCCACTATGTGGGTTCCAGGGATTGAACTCAGGTCTTCAGTCTTGACAGCACTTACCCTTACCACAGAGCTATCCTACTGACCCTGATATTATCTCTTATTAACCCTACAAAATTATCAGACACTCTTCCTTACAATGTTTAAAACCAATATAACTAATAATTTCATACTCAACATTCCCTTTTTTAACGTCAATTTTCTATTTCTCTTCAGTGGTGAATGAAGTTCTTTAAGGAAAACTAAATAAAGGGAGAAATGACTTTTCTCTGCCATACTCCTCATTCCCTCACCTCCACAGGAAGTGCCAAGCCTCTGCATTGGACCAAACCTATCTACGAACTAGATACAGATGACCCAGGAAACAATGGCTTTGTCAATGAGGACTTCATTGTTTGGATGAGGACAGCCGCCTTTCCCACTTTCAAAAAACTGTACCGCCGACTCAAACGTGTGGACTATTTTGCTGAAGGCTTACCTGCTGGTAACTACAATTTCCACATATCCTACAGTATCCTTCTATGCCACTTCCTTTTCTCAGAGTGAAGGCAAGATCTCACTACTCATTGTTAAGTTCTTTGATTCTGTTTCTGTCCTCCATCCAAGTATGTAACACTGAAAAACAGACAGCTATTTTATAACATTGCACACAGAGGAAGACAATGCCACTTCCTCAGTTCAAGGGTTTCTCTCCTGACTGATGAGTCAGGAAAAAAACATGCAAATTGTGTTTACATTATTGTAGTTTGGAACCATCCCAAGAAATAGATAGACCCAAAGAAGTGACTGCATGTATTTACAAACAGTTTTAAAGGAGTATCAGTTACAGAAGAACAGCTGAGGGTTAGTTTACCAAATTTGTTTTCACAGGTTGCCCTCTGATGGTTAACGAGTATCCCTCTTACTTTCTTCCTTCATTTTTTCCTTCCTTCTTCCCTCCCTCCCTTTCTTTCTTTCTGTGATAGCAATGTAGCTCTGGCTGTCCTGGAACTCACTATGTTGACCATGCTCACCTCAAATGCAGAGATCTTCCTGCTTCTGCCTCCCAAGTGCTGAGATTAAAAGCATTTGTCCCCACACCTAGCAAAAAGTATTATTGTAGTGTCTGTGGGCATTTTTCATCCCTCTCTGTTATCAGAAGAGAACGGGAGGTCAGCACGCCCTTCTTGTACTTGCTGATTTTCAAGTGCCTTAAGCCAAGATAATATACGGAAGTGGCATATATACCATCATTCACCTGTGTCCAAATTATGTCTTTAATGTATCTTTCTTTAAAGGAACAACAGGCAGTAGAAATATCAGGCATGGATAAATACAGAAGGAGTATTTTTGTACCCAAGAAAGACCAATAAACAGTAGACCTACACATCTACAGCAGTGAGGTGAAGCATGTCCTGTAGAGCAGGATGAGATGGAGAAACAAAAATAAAGGGGGGGGGGTAATAAGAAGTACATCTGGAAGCGGGACTGGAATAGCAGGCACTGACACAGACCATAGAACATTTAGACAAAAGTGGGTTAGAGCAAGAGAGCCTCCCAGTTACCACCCTGGGAAATGTGAAGCCTCTGTACTTGGCCAAACCTACCTATGGACTACATAAAGACCATCCAGCAAACACTAGCTTCCTCGATGAAGACGTCACTGTGTGGATGTGGACACCTTGCTGCAGTCCATATCAGGAATGCAGTGAGCTCTGCACTACAGATGTGTGCTCTTCCTCCCTTACATCCCTTAGATACAGAGCCTGCCAGTGGGAGTTGCAGTCCACATCAGGAATGCAGTGAGCTCTGCACTACAGATGTGTGCTCTTCCTCCCTTACATCCAGAGCCTGCCAGTGGGAGTTGCAGTCCACATCAGGAATGCAGTGAGCTCTGCACTACAGATGTGTGCTCTTCCTCCCTTACATCCCTTAGATACAGAGCCTGCCAGTGGGAGTTGCAGTCCACATCAGGAATGCAGTGAGCTCTGCACTACAGATGTGTGCTCTTCCTCCCTTACATCCAGAGCCTGCCAGTGGGAGTTGCAGTCCACATCAGGAATGCAGTGAGCTCTGCACTACAGATGTGTGCTCTTCCTCCCTTACATCCAGAGCCTGCCAGTGGGAGTTGATGTCTTGGTAACAGGCATATGGGCCAAGTTATGAGACATATGTTCTAATAATGGACCATGAGTTTCTCCTAATTTAAAAATACAAATGTGAGTCTGGATTTAAAAAAACAATGCAGTTTTAACTATAAAAAATGTAGCCAAGTCTTATCTTGAAATTCTATATTTACATAGAATTTATACTAACTGTGGTCTTCAGAGTTCATTTCCCTAAAGGAGGTAGACTTCCTAGGCAGGCTCTCACCCAGCTTTGAAACATGTACCCAATTAGGCATCCACACCTATTATAGTATGCCAGGGTTACTGGCTAGGATTGTTCTAGAGGACCCACAACAGGCCAAGGCTTCGCCACACCAAATTGTTCACGTACACAGTCTCTCTAACTCCCAGGGAGATTCAATGAGAAATTCTTCTTTTCTTTTGCAATGCCAGGGACCAGACCCAGGACCTTGAATATACTAAGCAAATGTTTCTCCACTGAGCTATATGTCTAGCCCTGAGCTAGAAAAGCCTTGACACAGTGTGAAATGCAAACGTCCACATCTGGCCCTGTGCCCTACTCCAGGATTTCTTCTTTCTCCTAGATCAGGTGTGTGGAACTCTATGAGGCCCCTGCTGATGTGACATCTCTGCCACCTCTTGTTTTATTTTGCAATAGTTGCTTTAAAGCAGAGATTGAGTGTTGCCCTGTGTCTCTCAAGCTGAATCTCTTGAGACTTCATGACTATCATTAACAGTAAACTAAACAACAGACCACAGAGGAAAAAAATCAAGATGCTGCCTTCACCCCTTGCTACAATTTGGGTTGGGGGTGAGGACAGGAAACTATGTCCAAAAGGGAGACAGTTTTTCGTCTCCAGACTTATGCTCTCTTCAGTGACCGCTAACAGCCACACTTGAACGCTGATCTCTAGATGGTCCATGTACAACCTCAACCCTGAGTGTTAGCTCTCTGCTTGCACTACTGCTATGTGGCCTAGCTGAAGTCTGAACTACAGCAGCGCCTGCTACTAAGGGGGAGATGATGCCCTGTAGTTGAGAATATGACTCTCCTTTCAAATGAACTCACAGGAAGATGAGGTAAGGCAGCACCCAAGGACCAGGTGACAATGAGGAAGTCCAGCATTAAAACAGAACTTGTCCCTAACATGTTTGCTTGTGCCTTTAAATAGCGTGTTGCCAAGAGATTGGAAGCCTTTTAAGAGCTTTGCTGGGAAATGCCTCTGTCCTCTGTGTTGCTATGAGAAGGCTTTGTTTGTTTATTAGTTTCATTTACAAAAGGCACCAGATGTTTAAAACCCTCAGGCCACATGCATCGGGAAGATGACATCATTAAAATGCTACATAGCAAACCCACTTCAAACACTTTCTCACCAGCAACAGCAACACTGCCGTTTCAAATACTAACAAATCTACCACCTTTGGAGTTCTCACCAAAACTGTTTCACTTTTCGTCCTGATGTTTTATTATTGTTCTTCTTCTTCTTAAACAAGTTTATCTGTGGCAGGGATTCCTGCTTCAACCTGTTAAGGAACTCAGCCTCTCTGGAGTCTTCTTGTTTGTGACTGAAGCCTTCAGTTTGCTGTGAAGACTGTCTATAGTCTCTGTGCCACCTTGGAGTCACCACAGGGAGTTAGATATCTGTTCATTGTCTAGCTGCTGACAAATCACTTGGATCGCTATACTGCAGCATCTCCTTTGTACACTATAGCTATGTGGAGGGGGAACCTTGTTTTGACTAATTTTATTCTAGAAAGATAGAGTATTAGTTAACTGTATTGAAACATGAAATTGAATAATTGTTTTGTGTCTATGAAAAAAGATCAATTTTGTATAACAATCTACTGTATTTGTATATGTCATGGCACCGATGATAATTACAGAGTCCTTAACAGACCTTCTTAGATTTTCCAGTAACCATGTTCCATGGAGAAAAATCCGTTGTTCTTTCCACTCTGACATGGATTGGAGGAGGTGGCATTTTCCTGGGACTTACTTACACAGTGACAGGGGCACTGACATTGTTGGCCTCTTTTGCCATCCTGACAATTCACTTGATGCTGAAAAGGACTAAGAAAAGTTTCTTGTAGGAGTGAAGTCAAGATTTGAAAAGGAAGAATAGCAGAAGGCAGAAATGGACAACAAAGTACTAGAACCAAAGATCTCTGGCAAAGCTTAAATATTTCTGAGCCATCTCAACTGGATTGACTGAATCAAATATAATCTCAACTACGTAGATAAATAATGAGATTCCCAGAGTGGGGTGAAGAAAAGGAGAGAAGACGAGGAGAAAAAAATATGTGAAGTAAAATGTTCTTGGAATGAAGACAATAAATGATTTTTGAGCTCTAAACTGAGTGTTAAGAATTTGAAGATCTTGTGCTTGAGAGTGGGTGAGTTCCCTAGGGGTCTGCCATTAAAATAAGAGCAAGCAAGCCAGAACAGAGTCCTTTAAGTTATATCCACTTAGACTCAGTCTTCTGGCTAGATGAATTTATAGAGTTTTCAAAAACCAATTGTTGAGTCACAACCAAGTTTTTATGCTAATAATAGACCAAGCAATGCTTAGCTATGTCCTGAGTATTCAAAATGCAATACACCAAAAAGAAAGTTTCTTTAATGTTGTCCAAGATAATAGCATTAAGAGTGGCTGATTCTTTAAACTATGGTGATCCTGTTGAGGACACAAAGCAATTCTAGGACTGATATTAAAATGATACTGTCTATAATATAATAATGACTGGCTTCAGACTTGCTGTCTGCCCAGGCTGGCCTTTACTCATAATGGTCCTGCCTCAGTATCCCTAGTGCTAAGATTAAGTGCTTGTGCCACCACACTAGTTATATGAACTATTCACCTTTCTGTGACAAAGTACTAACAAGAAGCAGTTTTGAAGCCGAGTCTGAGCCTGAGGGTGGTGGCACACGCCATTAATCCCAGCACTTGGAAGGCAGAGTTGGGTGGAGCTCTGTGAGTTCGAGGCCAGCCTGGTCAGAAAACAGAAAGGTGAAGAAGCAGTAACTCAAGAGAGGAGAGGTTTATAGCTTGGGTTTATAGTTCCATCATGTTGGGGAAGGCATGGGATGGTGCTCATCTGACCTTTTTCTGTAGTCTGGGACTCTAGCCCATGGAATGGGGCTGTCCTCATGGAATTTGGGTTTTCCACCTCAGTTTAAAAGTAGCCATTCCCTGAGCCGGGCGTTGGTGGCGCCCGCCTTTAATCCCAGCACTCGGGAGGCAGAGGCAGGCGGATCTCCGTGAGTTCGAGGCCAGCCTGGACTACCAAGCGAGTTCCAGGACAGCCTCCAAAGCCACAGAAAAACCCTGTCTCGAAAAACCAAAAAAAAAAAAAAAAAAAAAAAAAGTAGCCATTCCCAGGGGCTTGTCTCTTACATGATTCTAAGGCCTATGAAGTTAACTGTCACTATTAACTATCACACCAGGCTCAGCACGGATGTTTACCACTTGAGTTCTATCCATAAATGTTAGAGAATCTGTTACTTAAGTGCAGAGTAACCGGTAGCTTGCTACAGTAGCAGCAGAAAATCAATACACCGGTGTTTGGCGATGCTATAGTCATCTCAGCAATCATTTCTGATGTGTGGGTGACCTGTCCAGAAGAGAGCAAAAGGAAGTACATGACTTAAGTCATACCCACTAACCTCGGACCCTATACTCCTGGTCCTTTGTCCCAAAGCCCTCCTTTACAGTGCTAACTGGGAAAAGCAAATACAACTGTTGTATCTCAAATTCAGAAGGGTATACAGTATAAATACGCTGTATTAGTCAGGATGTATCTCTCTCTCTCTCTCTCTCTCCCCCTCTCTCTCTCTCTCATGTGTGTGTGTGTGTGTGTGTGTGTTTGTGTGTGTTACATAGGTACATAAACATTTTTCTTTTTTGTATTTAGCTTGTGTGATTGCTGGGAACTCTACATCTAATAGATGAGCCATGATCAAGAAAAGTGCCCTTCCAGGAGGTGTTATTCTGTGGATGGACTCTGTTTGCTGAGTCCTTCCTCTTGATCTCAGAGTCTAAGCCTTTTCTAGTCAGGGCTCCACATACAATGCAGGGCAACCTGGTTTATAAAGAGTCCACTGATGGAATTCTCACCAGAAACATCCAGAATAATCCACCAGTTGTCTTGGAACTCCACGGCTTGGTCAAGTTGGTATAAAATTAACCATTACAGAAGCCAGGCAGGCACCTGTGTTCAACACGTAGCTAAGCACCTTCTCAAAGGAAGTGCTTTGGAGTCCACTCTGAGCTAGAGTCGGTCTGCAGGGAGAGCCTATGCAAAAATACCAGCTGCATCCGTGAGAAACCAATTTGAGAAAAGCAAATGGCAATTCATGTCTTTTTCTTGCCTCTCTAAAGCGAGTGCATTCAAAGCAGTTTGTCCTCACAGGCCTCTTTCCCGGGTGCAGGCTGCAAGTCCTTGTCCTCCATTAACATTCTCCCATCCCATATCCCTAACCCCCATCCCTGCCATAGTGCTCTCTTCTTCTGCACAATTCTAAATTCTTCACAAATGTGCATCAGGATCTCATTGAATGGTCTTCAATGTCTTCTGTCCAAATGATCCTCCTGCCTCAACCTCCCGAGTGTTAGAACCCCCGGTGTACACCACAGTGCCTAGCTTATCCTTGTATTAGTAGTGGGAGCATTCGGTGAAAGCTTGGGCAAACTGTGCTACTCCAGTCTGTCTCCAACCCTGGTGACAAAACCAAATCGAGGAGGAAAAGTGTAGTGGAGGCCAAGAGAAAAAGAAAGAAAGGAAAAGTCGGCGAGTGAGTCTGGGGGCGGGGCGCATGGGTGCATAAGAGCAGGCGAAGTGGAGCTCGGAGCTGTGCGAACCCAGACCTCTATCATGGAGTGTGTTTTCAATGCGGGGATGGAGACACTGGGAATGAAATTCATAGGATGGAGTTACAAGTGAATGGGGATGTAGACTTGGGCTGAAGATGTAGCTGAGTTGTTGCTGGCACTTAGGTGGCCTGTCCAGGGCAGAGCTATAAGAAAGTCTTAATGAAATTAAGTCCACTGACTTCAGATCCCCAACCCTTACCTGTTTGGTCCCCACTCCACCATTACAGGGCTGATTAGGAAAGGCATAAATACAGTGGTTAGAGCTCCACTTCATTTGTCCATAAGTTATGATGCTGTATCAGCACACACAAGGGTTCATTCCCCAGCACTGAATAAACCCATGTGTGATGGTGTATGCATGCCTGCAGTCTGTCAGAAGGTAAAAGCAGACAGTCCCAGGTTCAAGCTTATTATCATTTACACCATGAATCTGAAGCCAGTCTGGGATACATGATACCCTGTGATGATGATGATGGTGGTGATGGGTGGTGGTGATGCAGAGTTGACCAGTATGCAAAATCTACTTTTTAGACGTGTACCTTATGTGACAAGGTCACAATGCTGAGTGCACCAAAAGGAGCCAGTTTTCCAGCTGTAAAGGGGTTTATGGTATATCAACATTTGTTTTTCCATCCAACTCTACCAATGTGCCCCCCACCTTCAAACTGGGAGCGTCTTTTTCTTTGTTACACACGTGCGTACACACACACACACACACACACACATGTATGCACAATCTGCTATGTCCATTTCTGTTTGTGTGCTTATTGCTTTGTATTGGGTAACAAATTAGAGAGGGCTCATGCCTGGGAGAGGCTAACTCACCGTCTCTCCACAGTCATTAGTTTCCTGCAGTTCTTTATCTAGGCTGGGACCCTGTGAGATTTCCTCCATTCCTCATTAGTATTACATCAGCTTCCGTAGCCCTCCACACATGTACACATCCATCCCATGATTGATCACGATCACCCACTCTTCTGGGTTTTTCCTCAGTTCCCTTATGTTATGGATTAAGGAAATGTCCCCCGAGAACAGCACCAGGCTTCCAACTCCTTCCACACAACCCCAGAACACCTAAACTAGCATACCCACTGACTTTGACAAAACATCACTCCCCAGCCAGCATTTCCAACGAAGCTAGCCTAATGGAGGCTGGGCTTTTCATCTGCCGTGTTACTTAGTACTGGCTTTATTGATGGGATATCCATAATAGGAAATGAGCTTCAAACAGCTGTTGGTGGTTTTGCTTTGCAATGTGTCCAGCAATCTCACAGCACCATGGCCTGTGGTTATCAACATTTTTTGTCTCTGAATATCCACAACTAGTTGTACCACAAAGCAGCTCTTTGCTGGCTTCTCCACAGGAAAAGCCCATTTCCAGTCCTCAGAGCCAAGGGAGACACTGGATCCAAAGCTCACCCAGTCTCTCTCACCAGGACTGGCTCAGAATCCCACTGCTAACACAGCCTTTGTTCGCCAAATTGAGTTACTCTTGGAAGACCAAGTATGGTTGAGCATACCTGTAATCCTAGGGAGGCTGAGGCAGGAGGATGGCCAATATGAGGCCACCCTAGGATTTTTTGATTTGTTTTGTTTTGGGTTTTGAGGCATGGTTTCTCCTAAGTGCTGGGATTAAAGGCATGCACCACCACTGCCCGGCTCTAAAAGCGAGTTTGTTTCTTTGTTTGCTTGTTTTTAAGCTACTAAGAAGTCAGTGCTTCAATGAGACTTCATTTTTGGGTGAGGTCTTGAAAAACATCCTTCTCCTTTGTCCCCTAAAAATGATTACTTGGTAAAATGATTAGGAAAGAAGGTAGTGAAATAGAGATTTGGATTGCGGCGACTCCCACAGCAGCGGGGACAGTTCATTTGGGAGCAGGGAACTTGGTTGCACATAGGAAAGTCATCCAACATCACCATTCTGTCCTGTGGTCTCCACTAGATGATTCAGGAAGTCTTCACAATCTAGAGTGAAGTGTTGCCTAGCAACGAATCTCCCGCCTATGAGTGTGGCGCTTGTGTCCTGCTTCCAGAGTTGTGCTTTTCTTACTCATTCTCACCACAGTTGGGATGGAAAAACTGAGCTCATTGTTCTGATGACAAGAAGTATCTTGTAGGGCACAAATCCAGCAGCAGCAGCAGGGACAGATGAGGGCAGACCTCTCAATTCTCAGGCTTTTTACTGCAGGCTAATGCTGGGAAATCACTCTTGATTTGTTTATTTATAAACATTCTCAGTTCTTGATCACAGTCAGCATCTGGGGAATAGGCTTTAAAAATGTCTTTTCCAACCTAAGGCCGGCAATTCTCTTGAGAAGTCAGGGGGTCTCCCAATGGTCTTTGGAAATGGGTGCCACAGAAACCTACAAGGAAAGAGGGGGTAGAGTGACGAGCAGGGCTTTTGTTTGGGGAGGGTGAGCAATGGGGTTTCCTTGTTCCTTCTAAAGGTTAAAGCAAAGAGGGAACACTAAAAGGGACAAGGGGGGGATTGAAACAGAA